CAAGAGCTCCTGACGTGGACTACCTGACCGACCAAACACACATATACGTACCGCACCTGTAGGATGCCTCTCCCAAGAGCTCCTGAACCAGGGCGGAAAGTCAACCGAAGGCCCCCTCAGAGGAGGGACCTAAACGGTCTAACTCAGTCCGCTGCACTCAGCACGGAATGGGCCACTGACCGGTTCGACACATCCAAAAGATAAGACCGGACGAAAGAAGAGGACGACGCCCAAGAAGCCGCACGGCAGACGTCCTCGACCGACGCCCCCCTGAGAAGGGCCGTAGAGGCCGCCATCCCACGCGTGGAATGCGACCTGAAGCCCACCGGGGGGGCCAGACCCTGCGTCTGATACGCCCGCCGCACAGCCGTGGCGACCCAGTGCGCCAGCCGCTGAGCCGACAGCGGGGCGCCCCTGTTCTTGGGGCCCAGACACACAAACAGCTGACCACCCAACCTGAATGATGACGTCATGGCCAGGTAATGCCTCAGCATTCTGACAGGACACAGAAGGTGCCGCCGCTCCTCCTCGGGGGAGGCATGCGGTGGCGGATAGAAAGCCCTAATCCTGATGACTCTCGACCTAAAGGCCGACGTGATGACCTTGGGGAGAAAAGCCGGATTGGGCCACAATTCCACCATGCCGTCGCCCTCTCCAAAGGACAGGCAAGACGCATGGACAGAGAGCGCACACAAGTCGCCCGCCCTCTTAGCAGACGCCAACGCCAGCAAGAGGGCCGTCTTAAAGGCGACACACTCGGGACTCGCCTCCGCCGCCGGTTCAAAAGGCGGACCCGACAGCCCCCTAAGGACCACCCTGAGGTCCCAAACCGGGGGCGTTCTCTGGAGCGGGGGCGTTCTCTGGAGCGGGGGCCTCCTCCTGCGCGCCCCCCGCAGAAAACGTTTAACCAACGGATGAGAGCGGGCTGTGAACCCCCCAAAACCGTCGTGACCCGAGGTAATGGCTGCCGCGAACACCGCCAAGGTGGCGACAGCCCTCCCCTTGTCAAAGAGCTCCTGTAGGAATCCCAGGACCCCCTCCAGCGGGCAACGCCTGGGATCCCAGGAACGGGAACCGCACCAGTCGCTGAAGAGCCTCCACCTCGTGGCGTAGGCCCTCACAGTGGACGGCGCCCTCGCCCCCCGAATGGTCTCCACCACCGCAGGGGGAAGACCCAGGTCTACGAGGTTCCGCCTCTCAGCCTCCAAACCCAGAGCCTGCGGCCGATTATCGGGCGTGAAAACAGGGCTCCTCCCCCCTGGACTAGAGCCCCCGGCTCGTCCGGGAGGGCCTAGGGCTCCATCACCGCCATGCCCCTCAGGAAGGGGAACCACCGGGCATGCGGACTGTCCGGAGCCACCAGGATCACCGACCTCCTCTCCTGTTCGATCCTCCGCAGCAGGACCGGCAGGAGACGCACTGGTGGGAAAGCGTACAGCAGGCCCTCTGGCCAGGGGTAATGAGCCAGAGCGTCCACGCCTAAGGGCGGCTCGTCCGCGGCCCTTAAGGCGAACCAGGACGGGCACTGTGCGTTTCCTGCACTGGCAAAAAGGTCGACCACTGGACGGCCGAACCTCCGCCAGATCTCCGCAGCTACCCATGGGGCCAGGCCCCACTCGTCCTGGAGTGGGCCCCCCCTGGACATCCTGTCGGCCCCCACGTTCCGGACCCCCGGGACGTGGCGCGCCCTGAGAGACAGGAGGTGAAGCGCCGCCCACAGCAGCGTCACCGTCGCCATGCGATGGAGAGCGGGGGACCTGGTGCCCCCCTGCCTGTTCAGATAGGAGACCACTATGGTGTTGTCTGAGCGCACCATCACGTGTCTCCCCTGCAGCTGAGGAGCAAAGTGCAGCAGTACCCTGTGCACTGCCTCCATCTCCAGCAGGTTGATGTGACGGCTGAGTCCGACCAGCAGCCTCCTACAGAGCTCTGGCCGAGGACCCCGCCCCATCCTTCGAGCGACGCGTCCGTGAACACCTCCACGTGAGACACGGCGCAGGCCAGAGTCACTCCGTCCCGCAATAGACCCGGAGTGAGCCAGAACCTGATGTCCGATGCTGCCACTTGGGGAACCCAGATCAGCCTCCCCCCGTCCCGGGAGGGGTGAAGCCTGAGGCGTGAGAACCACCTCTGAAAATTCCTCATGTGGAGAAGGCCTAGCCGCACCACAGCATGAGCTGCCGCCATCATTCCCAGCAGGGACATGAGGCGCCGAGCGGGGACTCTGGGGCCCGCCAGAACCTCTCTGGCCAGACGGGTAATGTTCATCCGTCTGTCCACGGACAATGCAGCACGGAATGTCACAGAGTCTAACTGTAGACCGAGATAAATCATGCGCTGAGCTGGCTGCAGCTTGCTTTTCTCCCTGTTCACCACAAAGCCCAGACGCTGTATGTGGGACAGGACCAAGCCCCGGCGATCCAAGATGGCGCCCTATTCAAATGAATGGTTTGTGCTCAGTGGCGCTTTGTGACAGCATGGGGGCTGAAAGATTAGCGGAAGTTGCCTGAAACTCGCAAAGATCTATGGGAAACTCGCCTGTATTTGGGCATCGTCTGGTCCTCCCGGTTCTGCGCAGTGGATTATCTCCCATAATGCGTTGCGCCAAACACGCGTGTGTGGGTCTCACACCGGGTCTCACGCACGTGCACAGAGGGGCTCGGCCGCGCTCTGACCAATCAGAGCAGTTCATCAGAGCGGGAGTTAGAGCGAGAGCCAGAGGAGCAGAGTTTGTGGCACTAAAGTGTGGATTTAAACAAAACCAAAGGATTTAAGAAGAAAAAAAGTTCAGGATGACAAGGGACACTAAAATCCCCACAAAATCCGATCTTTATTAAAGCTGTAGGTTCTCTGTCAGCTGAGGTTGAGCTGTTTTAATATGCATTGAGTTCTATGGGGAAAATTTCTGGGTAGCCCACGTGAATTTAGTCTGGTTCAGTCTGCAGTACCGCGAGAATCCCCTGAGCACGTGAGTTATTCAGCTACAAGCTAGTAATACCCTATCCAGTTAATATAATACATCCATGGACAGGACCCAGTGCGTGTGGCTCACGGCCACTTCCCTGGATGAGGCCAGAATTAACCAATCGTCTATGTAGGTTAAAATTCTTACCCCTGCGCGTCTGAGCGGCTCCAGTGCTGCCTCCACGCGTTTGGAAAAAGTCCGAGGCGCGAGTGCGTAGCCGAAGGGGAGACGGCAGTACTCGTAATTCCTCTCTCCCACTGCGAAGCGCAGAAACCTCCTGTGTTCTCATACAGAATCAATCAAACAACATTATTTCTGGCTACTTCAAGGATGCAGTGGTCGCTGTCAGCAATATCTTCACATAATCTGGAGGTGAAGGATGTCCAGAGACCAGGGCTGGACTGGGACAAAAAAACGGCCCGGGCATTTTTTCCTTCTTACCGGCCCAGGCATGTTTTTTTCACGTTTTTTACAGTTTGTTTACCAGGGATCGGCAACTCAAAAGGTTCAAAGAGCCATATTTGACAAAAAAAACTAAAAACATCTGTCCGGAGCCGCAAAAAAATAACAGCCTTGTATAAAGCTTATATGAAGGTTACACATTAGCCTAATATCTAAATGACCAAGTAAAGGCTACAAATACATAATAAGCATTCATGATTATCAAATGTGTGTTTTCACTGCAGCGTGTCCTGGAGAGAATGACGCACCACGTGATGACTCTGCTTTAACTTTGACTTCCATTTTTTTGAATTCATGCAACTGTAGAAATACAGTAAATAAATCTGCTTTTTGGCTCAAAGGTCACACACCTGCACTGTCCGCTCATATCGATTACGTCACAGGCTGAAGTTTGTTGGAGCTGAATGTCCTTAATGGCCTTTTCTTTCACAGTCTTTGCGGAGGTTTTTGAAGTCTGAAAAAAGTGCTCCGGATTTTGTATGAAAGAATCCTTCATGTAATTCCTGTCAACGGTATTTAGTGCTTCATTGTTCCTCGTGTTGCAACAAAACTTCCTATTACATCGCAAACATGAAGCAGTCTTTCCTCATTGAATAAAAGCAAATGTTCAGTCTTGTCCTTAGTCCAGTCTTATTATCGACTCTTTCTCTTTTTATCTTTGGGATCCGTGCGCACACGCCAGTTTGTTTACAGCAGCGGCCGCCTGGCGCGGGGCTGCGTCACAGGATATGACGCACTACGTTGACAGAAATGTTGAAATTGAATATTACTTAAACACATTTTTACAGCATTGAAATACGTTAGGAATGTTTTTCTTCCTACAGAAACCACATTCAAACTAGAAATAAAATATAGCCCTCCCACTCCATTTTCAGACATTTTTGAAAAGGCTCCAGGAGCCACTGGAGGAGCACTCAAGGTTGCCGACCCCTGGTTTATACAGTATGTGGAAGCATACTGTAGAGGATCAGGATGTCTACAGTTTCAACAAAAAAATAAAGTGCAATAGTCTACATTACAAGAGAGTAATAAACATGTCTCAGAGTGAGGGAGGTGGACACAGACATGAGAATTGGTCAAAAAAGTCTGAAATGCATAATGTCAGCCATTTGCTGGCTCTAAATCTGTTTAATTTGTTCACAACATTTTACTTTTGGGCTCAAACATGAACTTTTAATGCAATGGAAAATTTAGGTACCCGAGCTTTAATTTAGTCGCACTTCGAGAGGAGAGGGGAGACGCGGACTGTTTCCTGCAGCGGTGTATTTATTGGGTGCACAAATTACGCAAAGACACGCATGGTCCTGTGCACGTTTATGGTCTTGGGTATAATGGTCACGTTGCGGCTACGCGCTCACCGTGTTGTGTTGTGAGCGGTTCCCGGTGAGCGGTTCCTGCGTCCAGCTCAGAGCCGCTGGATGCGGGAACACTGTGGCCGCTGAGGTGGTAGAATCCCGTTCGAGTACATACAGCAGGTGCCCCGCGGACACGCGCGCCCCCTCGAACAGTTCTCAACGGATTTACACTTTTCACAAACATCTTTTTTGTATGAGGCAGACAGACCGGCCCAAATATGGGCATCGGCCCTTCTGGCATTGCCCGGTACGCCCGATGGCCAGTCCAGCCCTGCCAGAGACCGTTCTAGACAACAACACATACGAGTTTTCAACTGCACATGCGCAGTTGAAAACTCGTAATTTTTATTTTTAAAGTCAAAATTTTGACTTTTAAAGTCGAAATTTTGACTTTTATAGTCGTAATTTTGACTTTTAAAGTCAAAATTTTGACTTTTAAAGTCGAAATTTTGACTTTTAAAGTCGAAATTTTGACTTTTAAACTCAAAATTTTGACTTTCTGTATGCTTTTTTTTTTTTTTACATGGCGGAAACGGGATTCCATACCATAGGAGGGCAGATAATGTGCCATTTGCTCATCTGTCGTTATCAACAGCACTGACTTGTCCACCTGCAAACGAAAAGAAACTCAAATGTGTTCGCTCCAGGTCCAAGGTGAGTGGTTGTTTACCAGGTATCTTGAGATACCTCTCCGAAACAATAGGTATCTCGAGATACCTATTTTTCTTATACTCTTTTTTAAAATTATTTTTACTATTTTTTTTAACTCTACTTCTTTTTTGTACTCCACTATGCTCCTTCAGGAGCTCTGTACTTTTAGGACCATGCACACTTTGACCCCAATTTTTTCTGAATTTCTACAGTAAAAGTGAATGTTATTTTGCACAGAGGTAGAGGGCATCACAGTGAAAGTAGTTGCAAAATTATTTTTGTTTTTCAAAAAATGTTTAAAAAAAATTGCATTTCGTTCGTCGTCGGGGCTTCCCTTTCCACGTTTGTAACAGCATAAAGGGGCCAACCGCTTTCAATGTGCGGACCTCTTCACCGCTGCGGCGAAAAGTGGGGCCACTTTACCGCGGTCCTGATACCAAGTGTTTGGTTTGTGTTTTTCCTGCTATACAGTACATAGTTCCCACATGACGTCACTACATACGGGGATTTGCCGACCCGGCGCCATTTGTGTTGGCATGCTGTGGGCAAAACAATAGAAAAAGAAGCTGAAACGTGTTAATGTCGTGATAAAGTTGAAAATGGTCATCTCCTGCTGGGTCAATGGATGTTCAAATCGTGCCGGAGGTTCCGTTAAACTTGGATTTTACAGTATACCCATCATTAGACTTCATAAATGTGAGAAGACTAAGCTTTTGTCAGAACAACCACGGAGGTTATGGCTTGCGAAGATAAACAGGCAAGAAACTCCCTCAAAACACGCAAGAATATGCTCGGAGCACTTTGTGTCAGGTGCGTATCGTATCTTATAATGTGTTGACAGACGTAATTTACTCAGTACTAACTTGTGTATGCTGATATCTGGTAACTTGAGAGTTTCATTATTTAGATTACTTTATTATGAGGAGGATCGGTGTCGCGTCCGAGGCTCTCGAGGGCAACGTAAATGTATTAAATAGATAATAATAGTTCTATGGTGGGCTAAAACAATGTTCACAAACAGCATTGCTTCTGTAAAAAGATCTGTGTCATAAAATAAACTGCTCTTTACGCCTGGAAAAATCAGTTGCCCACCATTCACCAAAACATACGGTCAAAAACGCGGAAATAAACAAAACAGCAATCCAGAGTGTCCGTGTGGCATTAGCATTAATTAAATTAATTGTTAATATAATTAAAATAATTAAATGGAGCTCCAACTGGTATTAAATCTAAAGTTTTTGAGAAATGTTTGCATTGCTTGTTAATTTTTGCTGCATAATTTGATCAAATATGTAAAACATGTCCGTAGCACGTTAAACTGTGGTGCCATTGTATTAATATACAATTATTTGCTCAAAAGTTGCCCTTTTTTTCCAATTTGCGTTTGAATATCTACATTTATTCTCATTCTTCTGTTTAATGGAATGCACAAACACAGCAGCGTGCCATCAAAGATGGCGTCTCCGAGGAGGTCATGTGACATTCATTGGTCTGTGGGAACTATGTATAACCCCAATAGATCCATGGCTATAACAGGCTATACACGCCTATTGCCTAGACTTCTGAATGTAAAGTTTGGTTTTAAAAAGAAATGCCAGACTGGTCGACGGAAAAGACCAAAGTGTGTGTCTTGTCGGTGTGAACTTGGTTATATCACCGCAGCACCCAATTTGAAATACCACCAGATGCTAAACACACGGCTGATGCAAACTCTCGTCCGCCGCGTTCTTCAAGACACATGGAGAAAAACTAAGAGCAAACTGTTGGCACTTTGCTACTATTTTGTATCACCCTGTTTTGATCTGTTTTAAAGGGTAGTTGAGGGGCTTATTTGTTTCCAGTAATAAATGTTATACATCTGTTAATTGAAAGCATTTTCTGGCATTTCGCGTGTGTGAAATATAACGCTACACCTTTTCAATAAAAAACACTTTTCCACGTTGATAAAAGTATTAAAATGATAATTCAAGGGGCATGAAGAATACATATAAGATATATTGTCGCCCCTAGGACCAGGCTGAAGACTCTAGGAGACAGAGCTTTTTCGAACTCTTTACCTTTGCACATTAGAACCGCACAATCACTCGAGCACTTTAAATCTCTGTTTAAGACGCACCTTTTCTCTTTGGCTTTGAACACCAGGTAGGAGACAAATTTTCGGTTTGTATTTTATTTTTATACGTGTATATTTCTGTATTTTTTGTTTTGTTTTTTATTGTTCATTCATTTATTTTTTCTCCCTGTCTGTACAGCACTTAGGTAAGCCTAGGGCTGTTTTAAATGTGCTCTACAAATGAAGATTTGGTTGATTGAGATTTTAAAAAGTGCGATTAATCGTGAGTTAACAATAACATTCATGCAATTCAATAGCGAATCATTTTGTGTATTTTTTTATCGTTGAACAACACTAGTAATTACATTTACTCGTTAAGTTAATGTAATATGAATCTAAAAGTGTCGTATTTCCGCCTGTCCGTGAAGCTCTCTCTCTCTCTCGTTCATCACAGTAGTGCGCGAGGCGGGCTAGAAGCTCACGCGCTCTCTCTATGACAATGCTATCACAGTGCTAACTACCGTGCTAACACTCGTCATGTCTTTTACGGGCTGGAGTACTTAGGACAGGCGCTGAGAGTGAACCGCCAGCCTTCACAATCTGCAGGAGCCCGCACGGTGTTCTCAGTGTCCGTGTGGGGGCATGGGAGACACGGAGGTCAGACACCCGTCCGCCTACCATTACAGGAAGCCCGCGGCCGTTTTTGACAGCTCCATGTTGACGTTGTAGCACCAGTGTACCACAGGTAAGAAGTGCAACTCTATGTAATGTGAAAGGACCACTTTTGTTGGCCTTTTTCATGTCACCTGTCACTGCGTCATGGCCGCATATAACTGCATATCGAGCTAAACATGACTGCAATGCGGCTTCAAGTGCTTGTCCTGCTAGCTGTGCTAACGGTAATCTGGCTAACTAACAGCAGGCGTCTCTAATTAGACTCGAGTCATCAGAGCCAAGAAAGCACTAACGTTAGCTTATTTTTTTAGAGGGGCTCTTTCTGTTGTGGTCATGGATCTATTCGGTTGTGCTTCATACATGTTGTGTTTTCCATGGTTCCATACATGTTGTTGTGTTACATAGCTCCATACATGTTGTTGTGTTACATAGCTCTTTACATGTTGTTGTGTTACATAGCTCTTTACATGTTGTGTCTAGCATCACCTTAGACCCCTCTAGAGTGCCACACACATATGTCAGTAGCTAGGGTGGTCACCTGTCACGTTCTCTCGTTTGCCTGTTGTCAGTGGCAGCAGTGTGGCTCAGTTGCTGGTGCCCTGGCTTGACTGTGTACTGTCTTTACAGGTCCTGTACATATAAATCATGCCTGGAAAACTCAAAGCCAAAATTGTGGCGGGGCGCCACTTGCCTGTCATGGACAGAGCCAGCGACCTCACGGATGCATTTGTGGAGGTGAACTAATTAAAGCCTCAATACATATTATCTGTTTTGGATTGTCCCTTCTTTATATCCCCAATCCTTAAATTATAGGTAAAATTTGGAAACACTACATTCAAGACTGATGTTTTTCCCAAGTCCCTCAACCCCCAGTGGAACTCGGAATGGTTCAAATTTGAGGTATAGTTTGTTGAATATATTTTATATTTATATGGGGCACATGCTGCGTTAACAAATCTGTTTTTTTTTTCTACTTTGAAAAATGCTCATGAATGCTTGCCCCAATTGGGAAAACTCTGGTTGAGAGTAGCTTGCTGTTGACTGGAGATGGACTAATATCTCAATTATTCTGGCTAAAGAGACGAAACAGCTGAGCCCTTTTCACTAGGGGTGGGAACCTAAGGGTACCTCACGATACGATACGATACACGATACAAAGCTCCTGTCCACTATACAAAGATATCACGATAACGATTTTATCACGATATGACGATTATTGATATATTGGTTAGAAATATACAATATGCCAATTTATGGCATAAATAAAATAAAAAATACTCTTTATTTCATGATAAATAGAATGGAGATGCGTAATGTAGCCATATATTAAGTATTGATACCAATTTAAAAAAAAAATATATATATATATATATATATATTTTTTTTTTTTCAAAATCGATATCGATACTTGGTAAATGCATATCGATAATCGAATCACGGGAGAAAGTATCGCGATATATCGAAAAATCGATATCTCGTCACACCCCTACTTTTCACCACAGGCAACAGTCTCATACTCCACTTTTATACACAGTGCCTTGCGAAAGTATTCGGCCCCCTTGAACCTTTCAACATTTCGCCACATTTCAGGCTTCAAACATAAAGATATAAAACATTTTTTTGTCAAGAATCAACAACAAGTGGGACACAATCGTGAAGTGGAACAAAATGTATTGGATAATTTAAACTTTTTTTTAACAAATAAAAAACTGAAAAGTGGGGCGTGCAATATTATTCGGCCCCCTTGCGCTAATACTTTGTAGCGCCACCTTTTGCTGCAATTACAGCTGCAAGTCACTTGGGGTATGTCTATCAGTTTTGCACATCAAGAGACTGGAATTCTTTCCCATTCTTCCTTGCAAAACAGCTCGAGCTCAGTGAGGTTGGATGGAGAGCGTTTGTGAACAGCGGTCTTCAGCTCTTTCCACAGATTCTCGATTGGATTCAGGTCTGGACTTTGACTTGGCCATTCTAACACCTGGATACGTCTATTTGTGAACCATTCCATTGTAGATTTGGCTTTATGTTTTGGATCATTGTCCTGTTGGAAGATAAATCTCCGTCCCAGTCTCAGGTCTTTTGCAGACTCCAACAGGTTTTCTTCCAGAATGGTCCTGTATTTGGCTCCATCCATCTTCCCATCAATTTTAGCCATCTTCCCTGTCCCTGCTGAAGAAAAGCAGGCCCAAAGCATGATGCTGCCACCACCATGTTTGACAGTGGGGATGGTGTGTTCAGGGTGATGAGCTGTGTTGCTTTTACGCCAAACATATAGTTTTGCATTGTGGCCAAAAAGTTCGATTTTGGTTTCATCTGACCAGAGCACCTTCTTCCACATGTTTGGTGTGTCTCCCAGGTGGCTTGTGGCAAACTTTAAACAAGACTTTTTATGGATATCTTTGAGAAATGGCTTTCTTCTTGCACTCTTCCATAAAGGCCAGATTTGTGCAGTGCACGACTGATTGTTGTCCTATGGACAGACTCTCCCACCTCAGCTGTAGTTATCTGCAGTTCATCCAGAGTGATCATGGGCCTCTTGGCTGCATCTCTGATCAGTCTTCTCCTTGTTTGAGATGAAAGTTTGGAGGGACGGCCGGGTCTTGGTAGATTTGCAGTGGTCTGACACTCCTTCCATTTCAATATAATTGCTTGCACAGTGCTCCTTGAGATGTTTAAAGCTTGGGAAATCTTTTTGTATCCAAATCTGGCTTTAAACTTCTTCACAACAGTATCTCGGACCTGCCTGGTGTGTTCCTTTGTCTTCATGGTTCTCTCTGCGCTTTAAACAGAACCCTGAGACTATCAAAGAGCAGGTGCATTTATACGGAGACTTGATTACAGACAGGTGCATTCTATTTATCATCATTCATTTAGGACAACATTGGATCATTCAAAGATCCTCACTGAACTTCTGGAGTGAGTTTGCTGCACTGAAAGTAAAGGGGCCGAATAATATTGCACGCCCCACTTTTCAGTTTTTTATTTGTTAAAAAAGTTTAAATTATCCAATAAATTTCGTTCCACTTCACAATTGTGTCCCACTTGTTGTTGATGCATGACAATTTTTTTTAATTGTATATCTTTATGTTTGAAGCCTGAAATGTGGCGAAATGTTGAAAGGTTCAAGGGGGCCGAATACTTTCGCAAGGCACTGTAACTCTTTTATATACACAGTATGCAGTGTATTTTCAGTTTTTTTTATGATGACACCTGTCAACAACGCATCAGGCCAATATTTTCAATGTAAAAGATGACCTAATGTAAAAAAATTCCACAATTAAAATTCTCCATCTTGGTTTTGATGTTGTTTTTCCTTCTCTTCAGAATAAACCTATTTGCATTCCATTTTTTTTAACTTGAATTTCTCTAACTTGTCACATTTGCATATGAAGTGAGTAGACGTTCATGTTTGTTTGATCTAAATAATTGAAATCTGAAACTTAAAGATAAAAACACATTTACACATGTCACACCCTATCTTGCTTTAACAGTGGCACATTCTTGTAATTCCTCTAATCTAAATAACTATGACTTACTTACTGCGGCAGGTGGACGATGAGGACCTGCAGGACGAGCCTTTGCAGATAACCGTCCTGGACCACGACACCTACAGTGCAAATGATGCCATTGGGAAAGTTTACATCGACATCGATCCACTGCTAGCAACAGAGGCTGCTTCCATCATATCTGGCTGGTTTCCTATATATGATACAATTCATGGTACTATGGCTGCTTATCAATACAACTATTGCCCACAATTACATCAAAACAGAGCGAAGTATTGCAATATTTATTTAAAAAAATTGTCACTTTTACGTTTTGTCGGGCTTACTCTGGTATTTTACATTTGTGTATTATTACTGCTTAACAGCAAGTTGAAATGAAAATTGCTTCTTCACAACCGGTTCTACACCACATACTACGACATAATTATGTCTTGTCCTGTAATAAGGTCCTTTAAGCAGCTCCTGTGTCCTGCATGTAGGATAAAGTGTTTGCACTTAGTTAATGTGTAAACCATAATAGATGTGACATTTGAATTGTCTTATTTTCCTTAATTTCTGTAAGGCCTTTGAATGATATGAGGGACACAAATGTCACAGAATCAAATCACAATACATGTTTTTTGCTATATGGTAAGATTTGCAATAATATTTAATTGTGGCCCAAAAATTGCAATTCTTTCCTATCGTCACTTTGCCAATTCACATCTTTTTAAATAATCCTACTTTTGTTTGTATTTGACTGTTGTCAGCCCCATCCACTTGTTATGACATTTTATCTGATCTATCTCTAGGCATAAGAGGAGAGATTAATGTCCTTGTCAAAGTGGAGCTATTTAACGATTTGAACCGCTTCAGGCAATCATCCTGTGGCGTCAAGTTCTTTTGCAGTACGTGTTTCGTTTTCACAACTATACTGCCTATTCTAGTGATACACGTGTGTAATCTATATTTCTTGCAGCTACATCTATCCCTCGCTGCTATCGAGCTGTAATGGTGCATGGCTTTGTGGAGGAGCTAGTAGTGAACGAGGATCCAGAATACCAGTGGATTGACCGCATCAGGACCCCAAGGGCCTCAAATGAAGCACGCCAAAGACTCATCTCTCTTATGTCTGGTGATATGTGCTTTTCTCTTATTATTATACTCTGACTAGAATTGATCAATTATTTGTTTGGATCATGAACAAGCTCTTTACATGGGATTAAATCGTAATGTAGCCATATATTAAGTATTGATACCAATTTAAAAAAAAAATATATATATATTTGATTCGATTATCGATATGCATCAGACAATTAAACAAAAACAAAGTTAACAATTCATTGTTTGTTTAATGTACAAATGCATTTTAATGCATAAATAGAGGCTAATGATGGCTGCGCACAGCGCCTGGTCTTTGCTTTTCCAAAATCCTGCCATTATCCCTCCCTCTCTCCGCTATGATGTTAACCTATTGGGATCGTTAAAGCTTATCATTCCACCTGTACTGCATGTTTAGGAGAGCTGCAGAGGAAAATAGGTCTCAAAGTCCTGGAGATGGGTGGAAATGCCGTGGTGGGTTACCTGCAATGTTTCGACCTGGAGGGAGAGTCTGGGCTAGTGGTGCGGGCCATTGGCACGGCTTGCACCCTGGATAAGTTGAGCTCCAACACGCACAGCAACACGGCCCCCGCCTCCAACGCCTGCAACTCCCCTTCCAAAGAGGCCAAGGAGTGAGTACATCACCCAGCATGGCGTGAAATGCTTGTGTGCATGTAGAGAGGATGGGCTCGGAACTCTGTCCACATATACAAGGACATAGATTATGCAAATTTGTATTTTTTAGCATTTAACCATTACATACGTACTCTTATCAAAATTGTCCTCTAAATTAGTGTCGGTTCAAGTCAAATCATTCTCTTTACTTTGTTCTTCGTAATTTACTTACATTAAACCACGCCATGTCAGATTAAGCTAGACAGGATTGTTTGCGCATTCTAGTCATCTTACTCAATTTAGATTATAGATTCATATTCTGCTGAAATTATTACATATTCTTCTAATTAGTGCTGTCCAAAATATTGCGTTATTAACGCGTTAACGCAAATCCATATTAACGGCGTCATTTTTTTATTGCGCAATATTTTTTTTATTTTTTTATTTTTTTTACTTTTTATTGCAGACAAACACATATACAGAAAAAAAAATAGAAACAAAGAAAAGGACTAGTTCAGATACATTGTAGACAGAGTGTGACGGAGCGGGTCCGTCTGTAGTTACGTGCGCGGACTGAGTTTTAAAGTAAAGGCTGACTTTAGTGCCGCATGCGCCACACCCGCACCTGCACACACACACACACGCCATTCCAAACGCGCGCACCCTTTTTTTCCCTCTGTTCCATTAATGCTTAACATCCACACGCATCATCCATACTCTTGTCCCTCTCTTCCCTCAGTTACTAGTTCGCCCAGGGGTGCACACTGTGCGGGCTAGAAATATATTTAAGCATACATTCATACACGTACCGGTCTGTCGCGCTCCTCTGCATCTGTGCGCGAGGATCAAACCAGGACCATACTTCCTGGTGGGTTAAATGCGCCCTGGGAGCGTGGGGAATTGTCCCCAAGATTAAATGTACTTATAATGGCCTAATGTTTCATTGTAGAGTATAGTTTTATGTGTTGGACCAATAGGGAATGGGTCCATACATGTATTCTGTTTATACGTCCCATTTGTAATAATTTATTTTTTGCTCAATGGGAGGGGCAAAGGGGACTATAAAGGAGAGTGTCTGGCACCCGTCAGTCTGCCGCTGGTTACAGAGGAGGTAACTACCTGGACTCATTAAAGGTGACCTATGTGTCCGAGTGGACCTGTTGTTTTTTTCTGCTAAAGTCACTGTACATATGCTCTGCACTGACTGCACCAATTTTTATGCACTTTGGGGAAAAGAAAAACACGAATGATCACTGCAATCCGAGCTTGCCTGTATTTTTTCTGAAGTAACCCACGACACAGAGATTACAAACAATATGTAGTTGGAGATACAGGGGGCCAAAGAAGAAACCCAGAAGGGCACATAGGAGGGGGGGGGGGGGGACATGAAGTGGGAGATGGGGGGAGGGGTTAATAAAAAAGGCAATATAAGCAAACAGTATACAGTCATAGATATACCGAAAGTAAACAGAGAAACAGCATAGAGTATTTACATGAACAAATTTACAAAATATTTACAGATTGTTTATCATCATCATAATGACACCATGATGTTTCTATACAGTCTATGGTCTATACCCACACATGCACACACACACACCCACACAAATGTGACTAATTTGCGATTAATCGCGAGTTAACTATGAAATTCATGCGATTAATCGCGATTAAATATTTTAATCGTTGCACAGCACTACTTCTAATACATGACCACCTTTTATTGCTAAATTTAATGTTACAAAACAAGTCCAAGAATTGTAGCATTTAGAGTTCCGCTTATGTACTTGTGGACAGTTCTTTCCAGCATGCTCATTGTGCTGTGTGTGTGTGTGTCTTGTCTGTGCGATGTGAATGAACGGAGGTTTGTTTAATGCAGTAATAACAGCACCCTTCATATCCTGAGACACACATAAAGTATCTCAAAAGCACACTGCCATCCTTCCTGCCTCATCTGTGCCCTGCTGCATGGCTCCTTGTTCTCTGCTTTCCAACACTGTATGACTCCATCATTTCTGTGTTGCTGGAGAAAAATAGCTCATGTAGAACTATCTCTATGTCAAGTAAACATCATCTATAACTATCTGATTTGCAAAAAGCAACCAATTCAGGCTAAAAAAACCCCATCAATCTCTATAGATCGTTTTTGTGGCATGGCCAGAAAGATCTGTGACTTGTGTATGAGGTAGGTGTTTACATAACCAGCAAATCTGACAAAATGATTCACCAAACTACTTGATATGAGCATGTATGATCTTTACACTATGAAAAACACAAATCTCTGTGAAAGAAGAGAATATACTATATAATTTTGTGCGAGGTGTTTGTGTACTTTTCTAAGTACATGTTTAAACTCCTGCTGTCAGTTAAACGTGTTAACTGCATTAATGCTAACCCATTCTAACTGTCCATTTATTTTTTTGGCGCAATAAACGTGTGTACAAAAACGCATCCAGGTGAACGTCACATCTGAAACAAATTTCACAACTTCCCCTGACGCTCAAACCTGGTACCCTGGGATATATCCCACCTCCCTTTTGATTAAGCTACATTACAAGGATTTTTATCTGGGAATTCTCTCTTGTAATCAAACTCATGATACTGTTAAAGGGCCAAACGTAATGGAAATAATGCATATAAATTCTTAAAGATATCAGCCCATACATAAATTGTATTGATAAACTGGTGCTTCCCCTAAATTGTTATGCTGATGCTGAACCTGCATTGTGATCTGGCCTTGTTCATGAAGTGTGAGTCTTGCATGTGATTCTTGCATAATACTCCCCCACCTCCTCTTTTCTTACTTCCTTTGATCTGTCGCTCTTCACTTGTGGCTACACTGGTTCTTGTTTGCATTCTCTCTCCCTCTCCGGCTTCATGTGGACCTGGACCGATCGGCCCCAGCTCTCCCGTAGCCCTTGGATGTCGCTCCACTCACAACAGCCCAGTGCACTCGGCTTGCACTCCCCAGAGACTCACCCAGAACTTCTCTGTCTCTGTGCCCACCCTCATCTTCACTGGTACGCAGGAGAAGGCCTTGTTCAATACCAGACTAGGGTCCATCCCCAAACATTCAACATAAATTAATGGGGACGCACAATGCATTGTCTTGAGAAATAATCACCTTTCCATACATAATACTACAGAGAAGATGCAATGGCATTTAAGTCCTCTCCAATAAGCAAATGCTTGTGTCTTAGTGGAGAAAAAATAGCCCAGTCTTATTTTTAAAAATAACATAGTATGAAAACCCAAAACTAGTATGTTTTATTTCTTGTACTCCTTAAACGCCTTCAGTGTGGCGCCAGACCCAGTGACGTGTGCAGAGACAAGACTGCTGTTAGTACTGGGACACATGCTTCAATATGTCTGTTTGTTTTTCTTTCGCTTTCTCTGTTGAACCCTGCTGCTTTGGTGTGTGTTTTGTGTGTTGTAGTCCATTAACCAACCCCCACAGCATCTGGCACCTACACCCTGAACAAACACCCATATATAAGTGCTTCACTGGGCTTGGGAATGGATCCACTGGCCAATTCAGACCTTCCTTTATCAAGCTGATTAAACGTTAGATTGTGACATTGATAAATGTTGTCATAGAATTAACATTTGAAACTACCCTTATCCTTTAAAGAGGGAATAGTGTCAGTGTTTTTTTTGGTTGCACTATTAAAGGTAAAGGTGCACTTTATTGATCCCCGTAGGGCAATTCAATCCTCTGCATTTGACCCATCCTGATCCCGCTAAGGCTTACGTCAGGAGCAGCGGTCGCCGTAGTAACAGCGCCCGGGAACCCATCTCCAGATGTCGATGCTCGGCTTGGTCAGGACTACCAGAGCTGGAGGATTTTACCTAGTGTGCATGTTTTTAGTGGTAGGGGAAACCGGAGTACCCGGAGGAAACCTACGGGGAGAACATGCAAACTCTGTGCCGCCTTTTTTAAAAAGGTTGACAGAGATGTTTTGAGTGAAATTATCACTTTGAATTTTAAAATCGCATATGTAATACGGTTATATATTAAGTGTTTCGATCTGCTAATCCAACAACATTTTCCACTATTGACTGTGGAACAATGGGCTTGAATTGCTGACAATAAAAGTAAATCTGGGGTTCTGGAAAAGTTCTGTGCTCGACAAAATCAAGCAGTCGTAATCTAAATTTTAGTCAATTTCTATGGACACATGGAATTTAATCGATACACACATAATGTGGCAGTAACTGTGCGAGGCTGAAGAGATAAAGGCCCGTATACTCAGGCGTCACTGTGTGCGTTGGCGTTTGTGCTGGACCCGTCGTTGATTACGCAGCCACAGTTGTTCGTATACTCGAAGGTACCCCCCGTGCATTGTCTTGAAGAGAAAGTTGTAACCCAACCACATGATTGTGATCTCGCAGGAATTGCCTGGGACATCAAAAGGTCTGTACAATATATAAACGTTCGGTGCACTATGCAACCAAAAATCTTGTCCACAAGATGTTCCGTCCGCCGGAAGGTGGCACCATGGCGGGGACCACGGATGGAATATAGCATGATGGTAAATCTGATGTACCCATCTTTTTAATCTAACTACATGCTGTCCCTTAAATAAGCAACATTAATTAATTCATTGTCAAGTTCCGGTAGCTACTTTCTCCTCTTCAGAACCAAACCAATGGCAAACCAAGCTGTTTGAGATTGTTGAAGAAGCTCTCCAAATTTCATTAAATCTGTATTCTAGGCGTAGTTTAAGTGACAATACTATAACCTCATTGTTTCATAAATAATTTCAACTGTGACGCGTTCTACCACAGCCGTTCCATGCTTCCATCCAAAACGTAATCACTCACGGGCCAATCACAACAGACCTTCTCTGCGCTGCCGGCCATGTAGTCAGAAAAGTACATAGGCTTTACTCTTTTAGGAGAAGAAATTATATGGGACCTCCTAGTTAAAGATGCACTAACTCACTTTGTGAAATTTGTGAAATGTGAGCGCTGGTCTCGCTCTTCTGCTCGCCTTCCCCGCACTCACGGAGCTATCTTCAAAAGGACGTATATCCCAATGCATTGCATGGATGTGGATTTAATTTTTCTAATTAATACAAAAATAAAGTGAGGTAACGCAGCTTTAACTCCAGGAAACTGCAATGTCCCCCCCTTTTCTTTAGCCCTACTGAGACAGGATTAAAGCTGCACTAACTGACTTTATTTTCGTATTCATTACGAAAATGCTATCCATGTCCATGTAGTGCATTGGGATATACGTCCTTTTGAAGAATAATTAGCGCAGATTTGTGCTGGCGTGACATTATATTTTAGATCGAGTTTTGATGAAACAAGGAAGAGAATGTGTTTCGGGTCGCAGATTGTGACCAATCACAACGGACCACTGGCCCCCACTTTCGTGAGAAATCTACAGGTCCGTTAGCATAGACAGCTGAGTTAGCACAACAAGCGGCGGAGCTAATACCTGAAGCTTCGTGTGTCTTCGTCACCGGTTACTGCTTACACAGCGAAACAGCCATCCAAAAGAAAGTCCCGTTCCTCCGCGCTTCCCGGTTCTATCGTTTTATGGTCACGCCATCCACGTGCAAATCCATATCCATGTATTATCCATATTGGGAGACACTAGCTCCGTCCCAACAGTGAGTGTGTGTGGGGGCGATAGCTTCGTGGGTGCGGGGAGGGGAGCAGAAAGGAGAGGCCAGCGAGTCCACGGCTTCAAAATCCCAAAGTCAGTTAGTGCAGCTTTAATTAAACATAGGAATGTCTACAATGTGTGTTTGCAAAGCATAACAAGTTGGAGAATACTCAAACTGCACGCAGTTTGGGTCCAACAAGTTTTTGTCCCATATCTGTGCACCCTGCAGAGAAGCCACTTGAGACCACTGGCCTTTGGACGGTGTCAACATTGTCTCGGAACTTTCTCTTATGACTCAGGCTGCGGTCACATGCACAGCCTAAAGCCCTGTTAAAGTGGGCGTAGGCCCACTTTGCGATTAGATCCAAGCTTTAGGTGCTATGTGACCACGGCAACTGGGCTTAGGCACGTTTGCTGCAAGTGGGCTTGGGCACGGTCGAGAGAGGTGGGCCTGAGCACACTTTTTACGAGCAGATTAGGGGGGTCAATGTGGCGGGTGGTGTGGACTCGGAGTGGGGGGTGAGGTCTGGTGGGGACTTGATATTGTGCGTCACATTACGTCTTCCTGTGGCGCCTGTTGTGACGTGTATTTTCACACAAGTCTCTCCCTGTAGTCTCAGACTTTCGTATTCTCCCTGCATTTCCTACAGGGAGAACTCCCTTCTGTTCTGACCTTGCTGTCACAGTGTGGTGCTATTGCAATAATACTTCAGACGTTTAGGAGTAAGACTTTGTTTTATCGCCAGAACACATCAACATACACTTTTATCCTGCCTGGCTCTGGTCAATCTGCTCGTGCGCCGCACTTTTAATTTTTCATTCTCATTCATTCATTTTATCAGCGCTTACGCTCTTTACTCCAAGACGCGCACCCACTGAGCTGCTGCACATTTGGGAAAGACATAATCACATTTGTTCACATTGCTCTGATGCAAACATGATCCATTTTTTTTTTTTTTTTGGCGCAAAGTAGCAGAGTGGTAATCGCTGAAGTTAGCACTAGCGCCACCAGCTGAACCGAGCGTTGCACTACAGCAGTCGGTCAGGCACTGCTGAGAAAATAAACCTTTTTGACCGTGGTCCGTGTTCACACCCCTGTGGCGACGATCCAGGCCACTTGACATAGTTTGTTTGTAAAAACTTGTTTGGCCGTGCCGTCAAACTTTGGCTGAAATTTTAATTTACAATTAAAGTTACATGCTGCATGTAACAAAACAAAGACTGTGCAGTGTCACAATTAACATATTTTGTGAGTGGCCTATAAGCTTCCAAAGGCATGCATTTCTAATATGAACATAATTTGTCACTTTAATATCCGGTTTATGTGGTTAAGTAGCAGATCAATCTCAGTATATTTCCAATCAAAGTTTTCACTAGTACTTTGTAAACATGATCATTGATATGGCAATTTTTCTGTATAATAAAGTTTCCCCAAGGAATAATAATTTACATTATTTTTTCATTCTGTGCAGTTATATATAATAATAATAATTAAAAAGAATACATTGTCTTTTTGATAGCGTTTTTTGGACACTCGAAGATGATTGATATGTCATTATTCATTCACACGCTCCAGACTCATTCTAGGCAATGTGGGTGACGTGTCTTGCCTAAGGACACAACGGCAGTTTGGCACTTTACACCTGCAGCCGCCCCACTGTGGCACCCTAACCCTGGTGTTCCCAGAGGTCTCCCATCACAGTAATAACCAGACCATGCCTTGCGTAGTTTCAGAGGTGTGAATTGATTTCACGTGCAGGTAAAGCCACACGTGTAGGTATGGTCACAAATAAATTTTGTATTATCTGATTGCAATTAAAAGGTTTGCCTTAGTTGGTAATTGGTAAAATAATAGTTTTGATCAGTGTGTAATTGGTAAAATAATTAGTTTATCAGTGTGTAAGTGGAAGTGCCCGGCAGATGTGTGTGCTGCAGAAGGAGGCAAATGGTTCAAACGCTTCCATGAACCCAGGGTCTTTGCTTATAAAACACTAAAGCAAGTCAGTGACCACATTGACTTGTGTATAACTACGGTGTGCTATGATTTCAGCACACTGGTCGCATTAATCCTATTCTCACAGTCTTGTCAAAGTTGCTCTACATTTCTTGTTAGACTTGTTAGACTCAAGGGACTGGCCACCAATGGCCAGTCCCTTGAGTCTCACCAATGAACAGTGAGCGCTGTAGACTGTTGAATACAAAATATAGTTGTAGTAACACCTTACCTATAGCTCCCATTCGCCAAGGCGTCTCATGATTTTATCCACCTTTCTAGAAGTCCTATGAAATGAGGTTGCAGAGTGGGACGTTCCATTCCCAAGCCCTTATATATTTCTCCATTGTATATGACCATATACAATACTTTACACATGAGCAGGAGACTGGGAGCTTGCTGACTTACTTGTTCTCTGCCAGGCCAGTGTTTGGGGAGGAGCTGCCCACGTCTTCCGGGCCGCCCACCCCTTTCCGAGCTCTCCCCACATCCTCCTCCTCTCCCCCCCCCTTCTCTCCCTCCAAGCCATGCAGTCGTCAGTCCTCCTCATCCGACACAGACCTCAGTTTGACGCCCAAGACTGGTAAGAGCACCCACCCATTATTCCATGTCACCCATCTTCCTCTCCCATAGTAAAGTGTGCCGTTTCTGTGCATATGATTTAAGTTTATTAATTTTAAGCAGTGTTTTGTTTCAATTTATTTTATGGAAGCATTGTGTCTCATGACTGACTGTTGTTGACATTTTAGCTAATATGACTTCTTCATTAGCTCCCAGTTTGGTCATTCATAGAGTGGAAGGTAAGTCCTGCATCACTACCTTTTTAAATGAACACTGTAGTGAGTCGTAGTGGTCACTACAAATAGAAGTACAAGTCCCCTTGTGTTCATCTATCCTGCATATCTTCTACTATTTTCTTTGTTTTTAACTCCATTTCACTATTTTCCCATAATTCTTTACTACCACTCAAATAGTCATTACCAACTAGTGCTACTTTTTACAACTACTGAAACATATACACTTCACAAATCAGCAAACGTATTAATTTGTTTGCTAGTAATGTATAATTATGATGTTCATAATATATTATGAATCTTCTATTTGTTTTTAAAAGCTTTATATCACTTGATCCAATTATATTGCTAAAAAATCTATGTCTGGTACATTTCTGTTCTGAAGAATGGCCAGTCACATTTTCTTCATCATTCTTGTGTTTCTTTTCTCTCTCTCCCTTATTTTCATTTCTGTTTGTATTTTTCTCCATCCCATCATTCCCCTTGGGTCTGTGCTGGACAGAGGACCACCAACCAATAAGACGCAGGCCCGGAATCTTCTTCTGCCCTAGCTCCCCCGTCCTGCCTACAGATACCCTCCTTTCTCTCCCTGGTCCTGGCTTGGTGTGCTCTGCTCACACCAGCTCGCCCCTCCCTACCACCACCCACTCAGACTCCGCCCTGCTAAGAAAGAGTGTGTCCTTCAATGAGGACCTGCTTCTCATGGCGGCCTCTGGTACTGTTGGACCCAATGTGTGTTTCACAAGTGAACAGCTGAGCTTAAGCTACTCCACTAATACACATATAGTACATGCTACAGCATTCATGTTTGTACGCTATGTCAAACATAACACTCAAATGTGTTCAGAAGAGCAGGACATCAAATTGTTTTTCGAAATATATTGAACTATTCTGAATGGGTTTGATCATTGCTTTGTTTTTGGAACAGGTATGGGAAGTGGTGGCAGTGCAGGAAAAGAGGCTGGACCTTTGAAGACGCTGCTGAGGCAACAAACACAAACGGCTCTTGAACAGAGAGTATGTATTTGCAATGTAATCTGACAAAATGCTTGGATAAATGTATCATGTTTTAGAGTATAGATTGAACATCAAGCTTGAGTTGCAGGTGCCAGATTCTGATTACTTTCTTTGTCCTCTTGATGCTTGTGCTCCTCAGGGAGCATCCTCCTCTAGGTTATTGTTTAACACTGGGGTATGTTCTTTTGTGGGACCTTTATCTGCACTTATTTCCCTCTTAAGACCTCAGCCGCTGGTGGCTATGCCCTTCTCAGCCTCTTCCTCGGCTCTTACTCTGATGGAAGCTGGCGTTCAGTTTGATGTGACCTTGCTATATGTTTGCACTTCACTCTTCAAAGACCCACAGACTGATGACGCAGAGCCCTAAATCAGAGTGTCTTTAATCCGAAAATGCTTGTGTCATCAGCAGACATCATGCATCATCATCAGCCATCCCTTGCTCTCAATGAGTTGTCTTATTTTTGGAGTCACAAGGGAAAAAACATTCCTAATTGATCATGTTATGTAGGGGTGCAACGGTTTGAAAAAATCACAGTTCGGTTCGTACCTCGGTTCAGAGGCCACGGTTCATTTTTCGGTTCATTTTTCTAAAAAAAAGTTTTGTCTTTTTAATAAACACAGCTCATGTGGACTCGGCACCTGCTCTGACTGCCCCCCCTGACCTAGAAATGAATTAAGGGGAAGGAAATGGATGGATGGATGGAAGGCATATTCCATCCATCCAATTATGTCTATTTAACATAATTAATGAAAAACAACACAAAGTGCAACATAAGAAGGCACTTTATGAGGATATTTACCCTCATATATTACACCACCTTCCTGATTCTACCGAGGAGGGGGTCCATTCTGGGCCCAGCCTCATTCACTGCATTTATTTAATTTTTGGCATTATCAGTTGTGACTGGGATATTAGTACTGGGCCTTTGTCTTCCATTCCTCCGCTGCTTGTGTCAGTACCTGCGCTGTGTGACAGTGTGACTGTCTTAGAGGGGGCGTGTCTTCAGCGCCAGACTTTTCATCTCCCAGTCTGCAGTGATGAAGTGAGCGGTTCTGCTCATGGATCTATTATAGGTTCCGCGGGACGTCCAAGCGTCAGTCGTGAGCGCAGCTGAGGATGCGCGGGAGAGTTGACTTTAGCCTGGTCTGACTGTGCGTAAAGGAGCTGCTTAAATGCCGCGACAATAGGTGGTCGTTGAGACGCTTTTTTCACTCATGTCTTTCTTGTGCCACAGTGCTTACACATCGTGACAGTTTTGTCGAATATTAATGATCAGTGTAGTTACAGTGAAGCCAAAATGCTCTCATACTGGGGATTTAAATGACGCAGGGCTTTCAAGCATCTCCGTTCCTCCGCTCGCAATGACCGCGCTGTGTGTGGACTAAACAACGTGCGCACAACTTTTTTTCATAAATCAAACCGCGGATCACGTCTGTACCGAACCGAAGACGTTGAACCGAACGGATCACGGATCAGTGATGAACCGTTGCACCTCTAATGTTATGTCATGATGGTATTTGATATTCTTTCAGTATTTGCAAATGCATGATTGTACTTGTCTTGTTTGATCTCAAAGGGTCATTGTGGGGACAGAGAAGCATGGGGCAAAACCCGGAAAGACTTATCTGAGGATGTTAGTATTTTTTCACAAGTTTACTGTACATGCTGCATGCCTGGTTCATCTGCCCTCAATTATCCTTACTGTGTAGTAGCATTAAAGGGATAATCATAGACTGCCCCGGTTTACCATTATGTATATTCCACAATACTTTTCTAAATGCATCTAGCATTGCCATACATTTATATAAGTCAGATCTACTAAGATCAAATATGCCATTTCTAATGTCTACTTTTTGCTTCTTATCTTTTTGCAGGAGTTTCCCTTCTTCACCCTGACAACTTTCCCTCCTGGTTTCTTGGTTCATGTTGGAGGAGTGGTCAGTGCCCGCTCTGTGAAGCTGCTGGACCGCATTCACAACCCCGGTGAGGGCAACACGCGTGTGCTAGAGTGTCCAGTTCTGTGTGAAATGCAATTTATGTGGGCATTTCAGATCTCTTGTGTTTGAATGAGTTCTTTGTGTTGAGAAGGTGAAAGATGTTCCTGTGTATACGTTCTGGTAGGTTTGATCATGTGCTTCATGTGCTTAGTGGTAAATGGTGAAGTGACTGAAGTCTGGGTGCTGTGATAGACTGGAGGTAGGGCTGGGCGATATGGCAAAAAAGTAAAATCTCGATTTTATTTCCTGCTTTGGACGATGTTGATTTTAAATCGATTTTCATTAAAGTCACTCAAGAGAGACTTTGCCCTTAAAATATTTTTTATCTTCCCGCTCAATATTTAAGTTTCAAAACTATTTTTTATTAGTTTCCCCCAATACATATTATAAAAGTCTTGTACAGACTGTGCTGATATCGCAAGTATAATTGATGTGCTGCTCGAACTCTCACAATATCCCTCATTCGATTTCACGATTTTCACATTTTTCACGAATTTGATTTTTTCAAAATTCGATTTATTGCCCAGCCCTAACTGGAGGTGGGGTGCATGGTTTCAACACGATTTTTATTGGGAAGCATTGGCTGTAGATTTAGTATACTTTTTCATATTTGGTTCCTTTTTGTTATGAAATTCTCTCGTCTGTTTTCTAGGGCTGTCAAACAATTACAATTTTTAATCGAGTTAATTACAGCTTAGAAATTAATCGCATTTCAAACTATCGGCAAAATTATGCCATAGTTTTCTGTAAATGTTTGTTTGAATGTAAAGATAAATGACAGCATAGTATACATATGTACTGTATTTGTTTATCATAACAAAAATAAATTGATATAAAATGGCATTCACATTATTAACATTCTGTCTTTCTGTATTAAACAGTATTTTATCAGTTCGACATAATCCGCTTCAGCTAAAGCTAGTGATGTGCTGAGCGTGCCGAGTCCTCAAAGCGTGTACCAAGTAATCCAGGGGAGTTTTTTTTAAAAGCGTGGATCGAGGCGTGTGTTGGTGACGTATGTGGTGACATTCGAAGCCTCGCGGAGCGGCCGCACCACGAGGCGGCTCACTGAGGTTCTTCATATAGTTTGGAGAGTGCATCGCTTCGACAGGTTGCTTTGTGATCCGCGGCTGTACCCGTCTGTCTCTGTGTGCGTACGTGTGTGTGCGTGATGTGGAGCTGTCCTGTACTTAAGTAAAGCAAATCTACTTCATATGAAATACAAATAAAAAGTTTCACTTTAGTAAAACCTCAGTTTCATATATACAGGTTTGCCTTAATGTCATGATTACTTTTTAACTTTTGTTTAAGTTATTAATGCGTTGGATCACAAATTATGTAACAGTTGCGTGGCACAGTCGGTAGTTGCTGGACTCTGAAGTCAGAAATATGTGGTTCGAATCCTGCTTGACTCAAAATCATGTTTGTATTTGCGAAGTAAATATATTTAATTATTGGGAATAAATGGTTTGTCTTGGTAGTTTTTCCTCAATTAAACACTTTGTAAAACTGTATTGCTTTGGATGCAATATGTTTGAACGCTGAACGCCTAAAATAGTTCATAGTTCATGAAGCATCATTTCAAACACAACATGTTTAGACTGTAAATATTAATATTAGACCCCACCATTCATTGTAAGCACATAAGAGTATTTTATATTTTTTGTCCACACAAAAAATAGCGTAGTGGAGCTTGATTCACCTTGAGCCTTCGAACCATGGGCCAAGTAATGGGCTGCAAACGCTCAATGCTTCATGGGGCTTCATATTTTCATCACTAGCTAAATCCTCTTTCTTCTTTTTCTCTGTCTCATAGAGGCTGTGGAAAAACTATGTACCCCAGCTTTAATTTAGCGAGTGTAGTTACGAAGCGGGAGGAGAGACGGACACTTCCTGGCTCCGTAGTTCAACTTCAGAGGTGCACAACTTACGTACAACTTACGCAAAGACACAGACACATCAAGCAGAGAATAGTTCTGTGCGTGTAAGGATGGTCTTTCACGTTACGGCGGCGCATAACGTGAGTGCCCTGCGGTCACGCGCATATTCTTTTTTAACTTGGATTCCCAGAGGGCCTGCCTGCTCTGTCGCCATCTTACACACGCATGTGTATGCAGCATTCTGAGTATTAGATGTATGGGCGGCACATACTTTAAAAGCGTTAAAAAAATTAACGCGATTAATTAAAAAAATTAACGTGCGTTAATGAGATAATTTTGACAGCCCTACTGTTTTCATATTGCATAAACGACAGCAGGCAAATGTCATGTCAATTATGATTTCTTGTCAGAAGTCTTTCTTCCTTCATTGTCTTTCCTTTTGAGAGTTTATTTGGATATGTTAGTTTGTCTTGTTATGGTAAAGGCCCGGGCCTGAGCATGAGCTACCCTTTTTCATTTAAAATAAATGTATGATGTATAACGTACATGGTGGTGATAAGCTGCTACTACTACTATAGCCACAGCTCCCTTGGGACACACCGCAAGGAAACCAGTATTTGCCATCAGCCCCACAAACCCGCTCCAATCATTTATTTGCACACCAGACTTTCTAATGTGGGTGCGGTGTCTGGACTAAGGACACATAGACCCATCACAAATACTAACCAGACCCTGTCCTGTTTAGCTTCCAGAGGTCTAACATGCGTGTGGCACCACATATGCCTGAGGAAACAGACGGTGCCGTTTTTTCTGCTACATTAACATTTAAATTACTAATTACTATACTCCAAATATAAAAAGTATCCACTCCTTACATTTTGAAGTTCTAGAACATAATATAATATTGCTACAAAGTTTGTCAGAACTGACAGCCATCATATGCTCTTTAATGAGTTGTCTTCCTTTCTTATCGCTTCATGCCATACGCCTATTGCTGCGCTGCTCTTTTGGTTTAGCCTCTGTGTCTAGTGGGTCAGGGCTGCGTGGTGCGTGTGAGTGATGCTGTACGTGTGTGTCGGACTGTCATCTCTTGTCTCTCCCTGTACTAACGGTGTGTTCTGGCCCAGCCTTGGGTAACACGCGCCCTTACAAACTGCTAGACTGGAATAGTGTCACTGCAGGTATTTCCCCTTTTTATGCTTTCTCTCACAGGAGTGATGGCTGCTCAATGACAGCACTTTTCAAGTGACTTCAACTGTTTCTTTTGCACAAATCTACAGCTATTGCTGTATTGCATTTGTGTCTCGCTCCCTTTTTACTATTCACTATAAACTGTATACTTAACGCATTTTGAAATGCCAGGTTAGTAAAGTATTTTTTTAAATTTTGATTCTGAGAAACATTATGTAATTTAACAGAAATCAGCATATATTCAACTTAACCCCAACCCTATATTCAGCCATCCATTTTCTTGCTTGTTTGCCTTCAAAAATAAATACTATAATAAAAGCAGATTTTGATTTGGTTTTAACGAGAAATGCCTATATGTCCTTTCTCATAATGGTTGACACATTGCCCTCAATGAGCTGCCATCCTCCGCACTATCTGTGAGTGTATGCTGCTGCTCAGCTGAGTTTAGCATGCGCTGTGCTCCCTCCCTCTCCAGCCTGGCCTGGCTCCCTGCCCTCCATCCGCTGTAGCCCCCTCCCTGGTCCCTAGCGCTGTGCTGCTGATGCTTTCAAAAAGCATTGTGCTCAAGCCTCTAGACCAGTACAGGTTTAGGAGGTTTTTTGAGTGAGCGAGCCACTGATCAGGCATGTGCATCCTTACCTCACTGGGCCGTATTCATACTGAGAGGAGAAGAAAGGACTCGCAGGCTGCATTTGGAGGTACCTTTCTCCTGCATCGATCTTGGTTGATTGGGACTGAAGGAAAGAGTTGAATGTTGGAGCTGGACTCTGGTGAATGAATATGGCCCTCCTCTGCCCATCCGCGTGTACATGGTCATATGCGTGCACGTTGGTGAGCCTGTGCCTGTGTGACATGTTGCTTTTGGTTTAACAAAGCCATATCCATCTCATAGGCCTGATGCCTGGTCACTGGTCATCTCCAATATTCTACAAACATTTAGAAAACACACATTTAGGATGCGTACAACGTTATTTCCCATAATAGTTCCGGGTTCCATGGTCAGACATGATTCATTTTTATTAGCCATGTGCAGTATAAAACTACATTGGAATACATTCGGAATACAATACAGTACAAAAAGGTACTCTGCCATCCTTTTGATATAAATATAATTTTTTTAAATTAAATACTGGTTTTGGTTGCTGACATCACTTTAATTCAGCACAACGCTAAACAAAACAGTTGTTGGCATCATTAGCAGACAGCGTTCCTTTAAAATTAAGCAAAAAATATAAGTTATATGGATTTGGAGTAAAAATAATCAAGTTGCCACAGTTGTGTTCGCCAAGATGATATGAGTTTAATTCTTGGTGTAGTTTAATTAAGCCTATGTTTTTCAACCTTTTTTGAGCCAAGGCACACTTTTTTCATTGAAAAAATCTCGCGGCACCCCACCAGAAGAAAATGGATAAATATATACTCTGTAGCCCAGGGTTGCCCAACTTTTTGTGACCCAAGGTCTACTTTTTAATTAGCAAACCTCCAAAGTTCTACCAGTCCAGAGTCAACATCAAAACATCAAGACATCAAAACCCCAGTTATAGCTGTTACAAACAACACTTCTTCACACAACCATTAGACATCATAGGACTAACTTTCTGTTTTTATTTTGAAATCTTTGCTTCTCACAATCTTCCACAAAAACAAACACAATCTGCATTTTGAGCAATAGGTAACTAACTGACCATATTATGATTGAAACAGAAAGGTTTCCTTGCAGCAGGTGTTAAGCTTTGGAACTCTCTGGATCCTTGTGAACAATCCTGTAACACCATTGTACAGTTGAAGAAAATGTATTAAAAAAAAAAAAGTACTTGCAAATTATGGTAAATGATTGGTTGTTCAAAAATCCTACAAAATAGAGGTAAACACAATAAAATCAACAATAACTACAGCAAAGTGTAAGATTGCTATGTGTAAAGAAAAAGATAAATAAATAATAATATAAAAATAAAATAATAATAATGATAATAAACATAAAGGCGTGCCATCCCATTTTTTTTTTTCAATTTTTCAATCTGTCAACTAAATACTGTGTCAAGGGGCATGAAACATAAGACTTTGTCTTCCACATGCTCCTATTCAGCAACATGTAATGGAATTGAACAATTTGTGTTCTTATTATTTTCATTATGATTGTAATAATGTCATGGCTGAATAAATAAATAAAAAAATAAAAAAATTATGAACCAAGAAGAAAAATGAACCAGTTAAAAACCAGGTAATGGAAATACAGTTCTATGAATCAGACATCCAAAAGCAGTGCACCACTGAATAAAATCAAACATAAAACCCCTGCTCTGGTGGACAGGAGTAAATAAATAGAACTGACAAAAGGAAGATCTCTTCCTACCTTAGTGAGAGACTTGACACTGGGACGAGGCTAGTTTCTCATAGTCCGGAGTGTAGGAGGTCGTTAGCCAGATCGGAGCGGGTCGGAGCTGGTGAATTGCTGTTTAACTTTAGCATGGCTGAGGAGAAACGGGCCAAAACTATTTGTCTGATCTGCAATGCGACGGTGGCATTGGCAATGAAAGCGAACCTGGAGCGTCATTTTCGAATGTACACGCAAGCGAGGAGAGGCATTTTGTGAAGAAAGCTGGCCTTTTAAATCCCTCACTTTGGTGGCGCAAAGTGCCATGAGTTAACAAGAGTTTTGGAATAAAGAGGCACTAACTGTGGAAAAAACATAATAAAATCCACTTTCAGCCCAAAAAGTCAGATAATGACTCGGAGGGCTCTTAAGTCTGCAAAAAAATAATTTTAAAAAATGGCCTGCTGTGTGTTCTGTTTGATTTGTTCACATTTTATTTTTGTGCACAAATAACATGCATTGTTTATGCATAGGGAAAATGTAGGTATCCAAGCGTTAAATTCAGGAGTTTTGGTTGCGCTTTGGGGGGACAGGTGGGAGAGACACGGGGGAACGCTAGTCCATGGTTCTGTCCATGCGACTATGGTCCATGCTTGGTACCACGTTACGGATGTGAGTTTGCTGCGCTGTTGTCAAAGCGGCTGTCAGTACAATGCGGCCACAGCTGCCCTGGGGTCAGAGCGGAGGAGGTGAATCCTGTTCAGAAATGGCAGAATTCCTTTAAAAAAACCTTACAATCACTTTCACTTCTCATGAGCCTCAATGCGTCCAATTCTTACGTTTCGAAGTACTTAGCTATCTGCTGCCACCTACTGATATGAAAAAGTATTACGTGGTTACTCCAGTTCAAAACAAGTAAGCACTCGCCAACGCGTGCATTTATTTTTAGACAAAGTAGGCGAATTTCTCGCGGCACACCCGACAATATCATACGGCACATTCGTGTACCGCGGCACAGTGGTTGAAAAACACTGCTTAAGCCTCAAAGAAAATGTGGATCTGTTACTTTGTTTACTGTCTGACATGGACAAGGGACTGTAGAATGCACTCAAATACAGAAACTCAGCTCATTGCTTCCATGCTCATTCTCAGTCATCTTTGTCCCCATCTTCACAACAATGGCTGGTTTTGATATGCTTTGACAATTCTTCACCCCTCAGAAAATGCTCTATTTTCTGTCACTCCGATAAGTCAAAGCAGTGGGATCCTTGTGTACCATGGAAATAACTGTCTCTTTGATGTGATTGATTTGGTTTTTCCCCGTTTAAGATATGTTTACATTTTCAACTTTGTGTTTTCCAGATGAGCCAGAGACCCGCGATGCCTGGTGGGAGGAAATACGCCAAGAAATCAAATCTCACGCCAAATCTCTTGGTTGCCATGCTGTCGTGGGATATAGTGAGAGTACAAGTATCTGGTAAGTTCAACACGCCACACGCAACCCCCACCAGTATCCTCACTTCCTCAACAACATCCTCCTCATGCCACAGCAAAGACGTGAAAGAATGCTTTAACTTAATTCTGCATTTAACAGTAGCTGCAAAAATAGAAACTGAAACTACAGCTTTGCATGGTTTCGTTTGGACGGACAAAGGAGTAGAATTCTCCTTATTGTAGCGCTAGAAACATATGTAGCTAGTTAGTTGACCTGCCGGCATTGTTGTTTACGTTTGCTCTCGGCTACTGCGCATATTCAAACGTAAGTCCTGAGGTCATTCCAGCAGAGAATTCACACAGATAAACCGATACCCAACTCTATCGTTTTACTTTCGCAGCGTCTCCGCGTAAACACCACCTCAGAGTAATGTGGTTGTGGCGGCATCTGCATGTGAAAGCCAGACCTCTGAAGCTATGCTTGGGAAGGGCCTGGTCAGTACCTTTGGGAACACTAGGTGCCACAGTGGGGCAAATGTAAAGTGCTAAACTGTCGTTGAGTCCTTAGACAAGACACTTCGCCACAGAATACCAGCACGTAAGCTCCAGGGGTCAGACACCAAATTAACATATTTAGATAATTGGCTAAAGATGATAATATAATAAAGTTAAAAACAATAATTGGCACCGGAAGGTGGTACCGGAAAGTGGTATCTGAAGATGGTACCCAAAGGTGGTACCGGAAGGTGGCGCCATGGATACTAATGGATGGATTAACATGATGCTGAATCTTTATGTAACTACACACAGTCCCTTAAACAAACTTCATTCAATATATTTTAGCACAGTGTGTGAATTGTACAAATAAACGTATCTTGCCTTGTATAATAAATATATATTTTTTCAAGATGTTGAACTATTTGTGTTTGATAATTGATTAGAATTTTTGTTTTTTGTTGTTTAAAAAAAAAAGAAGAAAATTGCAGTGTTTGTATGTGAACACCAAATACTTATTTTCCACCATAATTTGCAAATATATTTTATGATTTTCATAGTTGAGTATGATGAAAATTACACACATCCCACACCCCACATTGCCCCACTGTGTGATTATGTTATGTGTAATTTTATTCCCTTCAGGAGGACACATAATAACTGTCCTGGGACAACAGATGGAAAATAGCCCTTAAGCTAATTCTGGCATATTTACATGTATAATGTATATTAATATGCTCTGTCCCTTTTAATAAATCAATAAATACTGTAGTACACAGTAGTAATGCTGCATTAACCTGGACTCATGAGGCATAATGTGCCAAATGACACCAAAAACCATCTCCAATTCTCCAATGCATTTAATAATAGTTTACAATTGAAAGTCTAGTAATTTTCATCAAACCAGATTGAAAATTCTTTTTGCAGTGAGGAGGTCTGCATCTTGTCTGCATCAGGTACTGCAGCCATTCTAAATCCACGCTACATGCGTGATGGCTGTCTCGACCTTGGAAGCACAGACCACAGGTACTTCTATTTACCATATCCTCCAATGTATTCGTTGTGAGCCCATCTTTTGCTCCCTTTTTGCGCTCTCCAGATTTGAAGAGCAATCTCCTCCAAGCTGTGGCTTCTGCCACATTCCGTACGATGAGCTCAACATGCCCTTTCCTGCGCAGCTTACGTACTGTTATCACTGTCGGCGGCAGAAGGTGCAAAACCTTTTATTCCAATTATTTTATACTCTACAAAGCATTGCTTTAAAGTTACAGCTGATTCTTTCTTTTGTCAGGTTCCGGATGTGCTCTTCACCACCATTGACCTGCCACCTGAAGCTGCAGTCACGGGCAAAGGGTGTCTCATTCAGGCCAGGTGTGTGCTTTATTAGCCAAAAAAGGACACATTTTCTGAGAGGGTGCAAAATCCACCATTAGTTACACCATTGTTACACCATCAGTCTTTAAAATTCCATGACAGTATTTTTAGCCATTAATTTACAAATTTGAAAAAAAATTCCAAAACACTACAGAGTTCTGAAGATGGTTCACAGCTCTGTAGCCAAAACACGTCACCAATTACTTTTCAACCAGATACTTGTCTTGAAACAAGAACCGTTGGCTGTTTTGCCATATATTTTCTACTTCAGAAATTTTCATTCTAAAGCCTGAATTAATAAAGTAAAGAGTCATCTCCATTATCTTGAATGGCCAAAATGGGTGCAAAATATTGTCTTTTGGTACAAGCCAAATCTACAAAGACCAAACTGTTGACCAAAGTTGTTGTCCTCTTTTGTAGACTCTGTCGCTTGAAGAAGAAAGCCCAGGGAGAAGTGAACGCCACAGCAATCTCCAACCTGCTGCCCTTCATGGAGTACGAGCTTCACACTCAGCTGATGAACAAACTGAAGCTCCGCTGCATGAACGCGCTCTTCGGCCTGCACATTCAGATCAGTGTGGGAGAGAACATGCTGCTGGGGCTGGCTGTACGTCCTCCACTCTCTGCTGCCATCATCAAACGCTGCTAGGGCTGTCGAAATTAGTGGATCTACTGATATTATTTATTGATTTATGTCTCATGTGTAAATTTATCAGTATATAGCACGCAGAAGCATGTTAGGTCTCATTTCAAGGGCAGTTACATTTTTCTCATTGTTTGAAAGTTACTTGGTGTCATATTGTGAAATCCAGTATTAGATGCTCAACTCCAGACAGCTACAACTTCAAAAGCTTACCATTTTATTTCAGCAACAATAATAGAAAGGAAGGATAATTGTTGTGTGTCAACAAATAAATGTTTAACTGTTTATCGCACAATGACCAGAACTAAAATGACTGTGCATACATAACTATTGTGTTTGCCCACTCTATTTAGTCTGCCACAGGAGTCTATCTGAGCGCTCTCCCAGCTCCTGGAGGGATTCAGATCGCGGGAAAGACCCAGGGCGACCTCAGCAATGACCATCACATCCTGACCATCCAGAAGAAAATCAACGAAACCATTGCACGGAACAAAGAGCTCTACCAAATCAACCCCCCGGTGAGCAGACTACAGTCAACACTGGAAATCACCCATTAGTCATGTTGAGACACCACACTGACCCACATTACTTGCGCATTACAACGGCAAAACATGCAATGAAAACAAGGATTAACCAAGTATTCTGCCTTATTTATTTTCGTTTGGCCTAGTAGATCTGATCTTGAAGAGACACCAGGTAAGTAAGACAGGTGCCCATCAAGAGGAAATTTTAACTTATTGAAGACAAAAGAGCCTTTAAGAATAAATATCAGCATGGAGTAATCAGGGCTCAATTGATCTCGATAATATTTACTTTAATTTTATTAGTAGAACAGATATGGTTAAGTGATTGCAAGATAGTGCACCATGATGTCATAGTTTGAGAATTCGTTATAGCGAGTTAAAAAATTGAGCATTTAAACAGAAAGGGACATGTTAGTACCAGAGGTTTCTGATATCAGCATTGATGGAGCTAAATGCAACTCGAGGTCTCGTTTTTACAATGGTTAAAAACTCAATTAGACAATTTTTCATAATACATGTCCTTTAATGTGTATAATGACTAGCTCTGCTGCTTCCAAGGCCTTTGTAAGGACTGGATTTTGTTTACACATTGTGCTGGCAATTTGACAGCTTTGAACAGTCCTCAAAGATAACGTCTGTTGTGATTTATACAGAATTGAATTTGAATTGAACATTGGACATACAAACTACAAATTGTAATATTGCTCCACATTCATTGTGATCACTTAAACTTTGCTTTGCTTTTTTCTGGGTCATGAAAGAAAATATTTGCATTGGATCCCGAGGTGTTTGGCGGCATAAACATGGTACTGAGCCTGTGAAATGCAGCGCAGCATGACAATTCCTGTTTCACCTTTTTAAAACCACATAATTTGTGTTCTCTAACATGACTTAACCGGGACGTTTGGGAGAAGGGCCATTGTAACCTACTACAGCAGCACTTCTATGGGCAGACACTGGTCATAACTTAGGCCCTCTTTTCACTCCTCAACCCAACCTCAACCCAACCTCAACCCACTTTAACATTGTGTGACTGACACGCAGCTAGAATGAGTGTTTGGGCATGTGAATCCACTCTCGTCATACTAAGTTTTCCCCTGTGCAACTTCGATTCCCCAAACTCAGTGTGAATTATGTGTTGCTTTAGGAGCTAACAGAGGAGGGTGTAGGCTCTCCTATTCCTGAGCCCCGGCATCGGAACAGGCTCTTTCGCTCTCACTCAGAGAGCTCGGATGAGGTGTCTGAGCTGGATCTGTCCCATGGGAAGAAGGACGCTTTTGTTTTGGAGGTGAATGTCTGCCATTTTTCTAGATCAAGAGTCTCAATTATTGCACCCCCCTCGATTATTGGCTCCCCTAAAAGTGCGCACCCACTGTTCTTCGTTGTTCATCAACCTAGCTGTCTACATTACTAATTCTTCCTGGCCTGTAAGTCAGTCACCCAGATTTGACTCTATCGGCCCCCAAGTTTGAGACCACTGCTCTAGATCTTGACGCTGGCTCGTCGTGTGTGCATTTAAACTCTTTAAGAGTATGGGCAGTGAATTTTTGTCTTTGGGGCAGATTGATGACACTGATGCTGTGGAAGACATCCATGCTCTTCTCATTGATGCAGCACCACCCACAGGTTTGAATATTTTGTTCCTATTATCATGAAAAGTATTTAAATATTTTAAACGGGCACCAACATTCCTTTTATCAAGGCTTCCACAGCTGTAACACTGAGTTCATGCCTGGGATCAACAACTGGACGTCCGCTGTACAGGTCTGACTGATGGGAGTACACATTCTACACTCATTGACCCAAATGAGTTTTGAGCATCACTTTTTCTACTTTTTTGCAACAGATGTTTACATCCGTCAGAGTCCTACGCCTGAACAACGTCAATCTCACCAATCAAGTCTTGAACAAGATCTTCACTGATCTTTGTGAGAATCTGCTCAAAGTAAGTCTTTTACTTGTCCCTCAGAGAGCACTGTAATCTGCTGTATAATGTAATGTTGACACATTTCTCTTGCTTTGGTCACAGAGCTTTTATTTCAAGCTGCGCTCAATGATCCCCTGTTGCCTTTGTCGTCTCAACTTCACTGTTGCTGTGCCAGAGGAAGAACTCATACAAGTATGTAAATTATTTCTATCTACAGGCGCCTCAGGTTTATATTTTTGACTGTATACACCTAGACATTGCAGAAATGTGCGGTATCAGCTTTAATTTATTTCTATCTAAATATGGAATTTGATTATTTGTTGGTTCTGACAACAAATAATAAAAACAGTGAAAAAAATCCGCACAGCTATGTAGCTCCCAATCAGTGTATTTTATTTACATACCACACTGTAACGTTTTCGGGCTGAGGCCCTTCGCCTCAGCCTTCCACGAGACTCCCAGCTAAATTGTCAAATGATTTGTAAAATTTAAGTTAAAAAATGGCTAGGTTAAGGAGTTTTGTTTTCATATTAAATGTGTGTCTTTTGTCTGAAACCCTCATGCTGTGGATAATAGTTATCAGGTAGCAAGTTCGTCATCTGTGTCTGGGGATTTTTAACAGGGAAGTGGACTTCTAGAAACCTAAACTCTGCCCACTTTGCAGCTCCATAGTAACGTTGCTTGGAAGGCGTCTCACTTTCGTAAAAAATACCAAAAACGTTAACAATATCTACTATCTATCAGGGGCGGCATAGTGGCTGAGTGGATAGCACTCTTGCTTCAGCAAGAAGGTTCGAATCCTGGTTGAACAGGATTTTTCTGAGTGGAGTTTGCATGTTCTCCCAATGCCTCTATAGGTTTCCTCCGGGTGCTCTGGTTTCCCCTACCACTAAAAACATGCACACAAGGTTAAATCCTAAAGCTCCGGTAGTCCTGCCCAAGCCGGGGCGTCAACATCTGGAGATGGGTCCCCAGGCGCTATACTACGGCGACCACTGCTCCTGACGTAAACCTTAGTGGCATCAGGATGGGTCAAATGCAGAGGATGAATTGCCCTACGGGTATTAAGTATATACAGTCAGTCAAAACTCATTGTATTTTAACTGTGGATTATAGAACTTAAATGACAAGAATACAATGTCTACAAATTAATGGCCCTGACTATTTTCAACATGTGCCCTTTCGTCAGGTAACCGTGACTGCGGTGGCCATGACCTTTGATACGGACCAGACCCAGGACAAACCAGTAGAGAAAGGCACAAACAGAGGTCAGCCTTTTGCTTTTCTCCTTCTACCCATTGTACATGGCTTTCTCTTACAAATTGCGTTCCTGTAGTGAGTGGGGAGACTGAGGAGCAGTTGCAATTTCCTATGGAGCTGTGTGCAGATGCTTCGTCCTCCGCCACACATACGTCCAAAGTCTCAGGTAAAAGTAGTGAATTTCCATGTGCCCTATAATTTGGGATCACTAACAGGCTTTGACGTCCCCACTCACAATCCAGGCCCTCTTTCATTGTTCACACCAACTGCAAAGCTCTGTCAAAATCACCTTGTGATGATGCGGGCTCCAGGTAACTGTCCCGTGACCTGCTCTAGCCAATGTGATGTGGTTTGCTGTGACGGTAGAGCTCACTGGAGTGTTAAAGAACAACTATTATGCATTGTTTATGTTCTTTATGGACCGCAACATGATCTTGGGAGTATCAAATCATTTTAGTAGAAGAAATATAGAAAGAAGAAAGTGAAGAAAGGCTAGAACATTTATTTTTTACATACCTAGAAGGAAAGTCATGGCTGTATTTTGGAGATTATTATAACTATTAAAACCAATCGTTAGTGGTTGTGTGAAGCCATATATAGTCAAATAAACATGTTTTCTTATCTCGACATCATTGAGCTGCTCTGTTGAGGTCTCAGACAAGCAGTTTATGCAAAGCAGCCCAGGAACTAACAGGAACTGCAATCAGCTTTACAATCAGACTGAGAGCTGTCATAGATTTTAAAGTAGAAATAAGGACGGGGGATGGAGACTTCTGATCTTGGTCAGAAGAGAAGTTTCTAACCCCCTTTTTTCCCTGACAATGACAGCAGTTCAAACGCACTTCCATGTCCAAGTACAGCATTTAGCCTGCTGATATTGGTTATTTGAGAATAAATGGCTGCACTAACAATGAGTTTGTGGTTGCAATTTCATTCATAACTCAAACTCAGGAAAAGACCTTTTCTAATTTTTCCATTGCAACTTGAAAGGGGTCGATTCAATCAAACGTGCAAAAATGATGTGACTAGACTTAGTCAGAACCTATATATTTATTTCTCTATTCTGAGAATGGCTTTGACCATGACATTAGTTGTTAGGAAGCAGGCCAAATTAAAATGTTTACATAGACGGAGCAATTCTGGATATTGGCATGGATGAAGCTAAATTGAGAACAATGTTGCAACATGGTTAAAAGCTTCTAACATTGTATAATATGTGAAGTGTGTAGATTTGGGTCCATTTTAGGATTTTATTGACATGCTATAGTAATACTTTTAGTTACAGATTATTGGTGACATTTTCTTCTTTCTTTCAAATTAAATGTTACAGAAATGATGATGCAACAAAGTTCAGTATACAAGGTGTCCATTTTAAATGTCCACATATTGAATGTGCTGACTAGTGGATAACAATTTATTCTCCTGCTGGTGTCCAGAGTCAGAACTAAACTAAGGGAGGCAGCATTTCAGATTTATGCAGCTAAAATCTGGAACAATCTTTCTGAAAATGTGAGAAAATGTGAGGCTTCTTCTTTGACAATGTTTAAATCAAGGATAAAATTGATCTGTTTAGCTGTGCATACAGAGGGGTCTTTATCTTTTACTCTTTTAAATGTACTTGGATTATTTTAGATTTTAATGCCTTGTGCGGTTGTTTCAGTCTTATTTTATTCCGCACTTTGAGTTGGCTTGTGTATAAATTGTGCTATACAAAAAAGCCTTGCCTTGCCTTCTGACCTGCTGTTTGCTTGTGTCCATCAGGTGTCCAGGAGAGCACCATCTCCTCACGTGGTGAGTGTCCCACCACTCCAGAGGCTTGTCTTTATTTTGACTGACATCCTCTAGGCTGAGTTGACGTTGCACTGCTCCCGACCGGAACCTCATCCACTTTTCTTTTGTTTGTTTCTTTTCTGTTTGTGTTTGTGCGTCGTGGTTGTCGTTGTGCCGTTTGTCGTGCCGTCTGGGCGCGGGCTCTTGTGTGTCTCTTGTGTGTTCTCTCCAGCTGCCTCGGTTGATTACGGTTCCTTTGCAGACAGATGCAGCACCTGGATAGAGCTGCTTAGGCTGAAAGCGCACACCATAAGACGCGGATCTGTAAAGACAAGTACGAGGACGCAGTCTCTGAGCACACACACACGCAAACGCACACTCACACACTTCTCTCTGTGCATGCTGCTGCTGTGGGTGGGCCTTTTCTGATAAAGCCACGCCCCGCACAGTCATCCCAATCACCAGCCTGGCTTTGAACCCTCTGAAGCTATCCGTGAGATCAGTAATGCATTGCAGACCTCTTTGATTTCTGCTGAGTTTTCCTTATGTGCTTCTGCAATATATGCTGGGTTTTAAGGACAGTGATCATGTTATTAGTCCTGAGTGAAAGAAGATCCCTCTGCACAGTAAGTACAGTCTGGTTTCATGGAAGCAGTGGACAGCAGCTTTTTTGGCAGTGTGATGTTGGAACACATTTCTCACGTTCATAGTCTGTCACAAACGCAGAGCAGCCCGATCACTGAAATGAGCAGTGTAGTGCCACAGCTGTACCCAGGTCTGTGTGTGTCTGCACACTCTCTGTCTGACTCAGGTGCATGGCAGCCTGCTTTTCACCAAACCTCCTGCCACTGCATGATTGTCAAATACTCTCATTACACGGGCTCGGGAGGCAGACCAGCCTCACCATGCTGTGCATGTGGTGACGAGGTTTGCACGTAACATTTTTCCATTATTATACAGTGCATTTGTTGTCCTGTTGTAGTGTCATTGTGTTTATGTTGTCTCTGTGTGAGCAGTCTCCTCTCTGGAGCGCTCCAGCCCTGTGCCAGACGGGCGTTCTCGCTCTCTGCGCTCCACTCGCTCTTTTGGAGGCACTTCTGTCACTGTGGTCAAGATGACGCCTTTGGCATTTCTTCCTGGAACCCGGATCATTAAATACCTGGGAATCATTAACATGTTCTTTATAAGAGAAACCACATCACTGCGAGAGGTATGTTTTTTCTTCCTGCTGACCTCTCTGATATTGTATGTACTATAATGTGTCTTTACTATTTGCAGGAGGGAGGCGTCAGTGGCTTTCTTCACTCATTTATTGCAGAGGTGTTTGCCATGGTGCGAGCACACGTTGCAGCTCTTGGCGGAAATGCTGTAGTCTCCTATAGTATGAAAGAATGCATGCTGATGGAAAATCCAAATAAAAACCAGGTATTCTTTTTCTCAATACTGAATGTCTGCTATGCACAGAAGACTGATTGACAGAGTGTGTTGGTATGCTTTAGGCCCAGTGTCTCATCAATGTGAGTGGAGATGCTGTGATCTGTGTTCGGGACACTGAGCAGGAGGTGCCGTGTGTCTCCACATGCACTGCTCCAGCCTCCAGTGGGGGAACAGAGGAAGCTACGTGAACCAGTCCGTCCCAATACTACGACCGCCTTACTACTCTTGACACGACCCAAAGCTTTGAGCGCAACAGTGAACTACTCCAAAACTATGTGTACAATATTGTGGGTACTAATTGTACAGTTATTGCAGCATGACCATTTAGGGACTATTTGGTGTTTTTTTTTTATTTATTTTTTTATGATGTATCTTTTTGTATCTTTATTCGTCCATGAAAAAAAGATTGTATCATGGTGAGTTGCAAGGTGGTCTCCATAGAATGCCACACCAAAAGGGACTGACACAAGACATTTGAAGACAGTGTACCATTTCAATCATACAGCTCCCTATCATACCAAACCTTATCTTTCTTTTTAAGTTGTAGCATTTTAGAGAGGTGGGATCTTTTGGGATCAGCGAGCATTTAGTCCTCATAATCTCATAAATTTGTTCCATCTATTATATTTCAAATTCTAAAAATAATCTTTAGCTTCATCATTGTTTCTTAATTCTCACCAATAATTATAATCCCCATTCTTCAAAATATACCAACTGTTGTGCCACAGAATATATATATATATAAATGGTGTATGTTTTATTAAGAACTATATTTTTATATCGTTGAACTTCTCACCTTCTCTGTATAATAATGGTACTTTGATTTGAGATGTTTCTACTTTCTGTCTAAAACTTGAATGTACAGGATATAGTGATGGGTTGGCTCTCACTGGGAGTTATTGCCATAATGTCTGTTGCCTGCAAAGTTGTTATAGAAATTAAAATGTGTTGTCTGCGAGCAATGTTTCAGGACAGGTTTGTTGCACCCTAAAATAAACCATTCTTTACCAGTCCTGTATGACTAAAATACTAGATGTAACATTTCACTCAATGATCAATATTGAATGATGGAGGGAGTGAGTTTCAAATTTTATTTGAATAGAACCTTTCATAAATTACATTTTCCAAAGCGCTGCAAATAAAATGTAATTTATATAATTACAAGGTATTGCAATAATGTTTTTCAGGACGTCTAAAGTGATCGAACACTGGTTCAAAGTGGAGTTTGTGAGATTTAAAGATCTAGTCATTTATTAAATGGTTTAACCAGTGTATAACCAATGTTATATTGCATAAAATTATATTTTATGTGATTTTATGTTTTGAAGGCAACATAACAGTTAAATTCCGCAATAGGGTTTTAAGAGTTCGCTCTTGGAACCTCAGGTCTAAAAAATGACTATAGATCTTGCCAGAACTGTAATTGCAAAATATAACATATCTTAACCAGTGTTCCCCAACCTTTTTTCATTTAACCTTTTATTTAAAAACAATCCCATGGCACAATACCAGCTGAAACTGAGAATGACTTCACATTATGAAAGTGTATTATAGACATTCTTATATTTTCTTTTCACGTTATTTTGACTATAATAGTAACACACATGTTTTATTAGATAACACAAACAACCAGGGTTGCCAGATTGGGCAGCTTTGTAATCGCAGGCAAAAATGGGTTTGGCGGGTGGTTGTAAATGGGGATTAGTTCGGCGGGTTCTTTTAGCTGAAACACAAGAATATAAAATGTCTGTTTTGACTAAGGTTTTGACCCCTCTTCCTGAAACCCTCAACAGAGGTGATTCGCTCAGTCACATTCACAGACACGCTGTTGGAAACTCGCTCACTGCATACTCCACGAATTTACGTAGAGTTTGGGCTGGAAAATCTTGCTGGCATCTGGCAACACTGATCTCAAGGTACACTGACGTGCCTTGGCCTGGCCTTGGCGCACTGGTTGGAAAACACTGTTCTAAACTGTAAGAAACGTTAATTTGGAATCATGAAAAACTTTTTTTCTCCCGTGTGATTGGGTGTTTCCTATATATATATATATAATTTTTTTTTAATCTTGGAGCGTGAAAAACGATATTTTTTTTTTTATATTATGCTTGCATGACTCGCCAAATCTCCATTTTACATTAACGCATCCTGCTCTTTCGCTGTGTTTTAGCGACATCTACTGGTCATTCTTTGCATTACCCTGATCTCTGCCACTTCCTACGTGTCATACAGTATGTGCGCGCGCCCCTACATTTCCCCTACAACAGTCAACCATAGTCCCATCAGGAATTGCACTGCTCCAGAGACCACCTGTGGACCCGGACTGCTCCAGAGACCCTCTCGGGACTGTCGGTGCTGGCTCGGCTCGCCTCAAACATGGGGGGGATAGTTTTACCCAGGCGCATGTTTCTTTGGTGCATGGCGCTCATCTATCTGTCCGCGTTTGTTTCCCTGTACGTGCAAATACCAGGTGGGTTGGTCAAGCAAATATCATATCCTCTGGCTATGCATACTTTTGGACGAGAACTGCTACAGAATGCTAGTCAACAATTCTGATAATCGTAGACAAAATGCTTGGTGCATTAGTCCAATGCTCTATCTAGTAAGTGTAAACAAATGTGGGTTGTTTGCCTTCACTTTAATAATGTAAACTTCAGCGGCAAATTACTTTAATGCATACTCCTCTTTGACACGATTATGCCGAGTGTTCATATTGACTGCCTATTTTAATATCAGTTGTAAATAAATTAGTTCAATGCATTTTCATCAGTCGATTTGAATTAACTGAAGTGATAACTCCTGAAGGGTTATTTTATATAAACTATTGCATCCCCATTGTACGTATTTTCACATAAAATGGCAATATTATAGTAAAAATAAAATGTGTTAAATGCTAATCTATTGTAATCAAATCTGAGTGAACGCAGTAGTATATTATAGCCTTATGCTTTTTAACAGAAAAAGACATACTAAAGCTTTACTTGTATATGGTTGAACGGTAGCAAAGAAGTCAAAACAAGGTAAAACATGGATCTAGAATAATAATTACGGCCTCTCCACAAACACGAAGCGTATTGTTCCTATGTTACATTTATTCAATGGAATCATTCTTTATATTAATATATATTACTTACATGGAGTAGATTATCCTCTTCTACCAAGTTCCATTTCTAGTACAGACAAGATTTTTTATGTCCTATTCAGTTATGTAAAAAGCCTTATAATCCACCCTCATTAATGGTGAAACATGTCCTGTATAAAACTGAGTATGTTTGTGTTTTAAGTCCAGTGTCTCAGTCTTTTGAGACACTGGACACGGGGCTCAGAACTGGGTCTGCCCTCTCATTTGGAGGCAAAACTTTTGTTTTTAAAAGACAAAAAACAACTTTGTACATGACGTCACAATCTAAGGATTTGTCGGGGTGTAACAAGTTTGAGAAAGGAACACACAAAAAAGGGGGTGAATGTTTGTGCCAGCAGTTCCTGAAAGTTGGAGCTCAAAACCACTCCAGGTCAACTTTTGATTCGAAAAAATATTGTACAAGGATAGTTGGCACGTACGCTTTCTATGTATTCCTTTTGTCTCCTCCAGGCCTCTACGGGAACGAGGGCCTGCTGCCTGCCCGCTGGAGGCTGCGCTACAGTGGCAGCTCTCTGTGGGAGCAGATGAAGAGCTCTCCCACGCTGCTGTGGCTGGGGCCTCACCTGGGCCTGGACACCCACACCTGCATGGAGCTGCTGTGTCTGCTGGGGGCGGCGCTCAGCCTGGCCGCCACCCTGAGCGAGGCCTTCCGGGACAGCCTGGTGTTCCTCCTCCTCTGGGCACTCTACATGTCCATGTACCAGGTAAGCCCTCCGTTTTATTAGTGCGGCCCCGGTGCTTGCTTTCTGTTCAGATTCCGTTTATCTTCCATTTGCAATAAAATGACATTGGAATACATGTGCAAAAGTCTCTTTCTCTTTCTGGTTTCTCTATCTGGTTTCTCTATCTCTTCTCTCTATCTGGTCTCTCTATCTGGTCTCTCTATCTGGTCTCTCTATCTGGTCTCTCTATCTGGTCTCTCTATCTGGTCTCTCTATCTGGTCTCTCTATCTGGTCTCTCTATCTGGTCTCTCTATCTGGTCTCTCTATCTGGTCTCTCTATCTGGTCTCTCTATCTGGTCTCTCTATCTGGTCTCTCTATCTGGTCTCTCTGTCTGGTCTCTCTCTCTCTGGTCTCTCCCTGGTCTCACGGCTCACAGTCCTTTTTCAGAGCGGAGCACCTTGTTTAGAGCTCTCCTTCCTTTGGCTGTGTTAGTGAACCACACAGTCACAGAATCAACAAAGATTTTAACGGAGCAGCGGTAAAAGTAAAATAAGAGATGCTGACAAGCTTCTCTTCAAATGTTTTAGTCCCATTTCAGGTCATTGGAGTCAAACCCAGAAACTTGCACTTACAATCTGCACTTGGGAGTGTTGCCTCTGACAGTCGCTCTGGATATGTCCTTAAGCAATAAATAGTCGTGCTCTTTACACTACATTTGAACATGTTTTTGTTGTAACCAGTGGGGGTGGATCCCAGGTCAAAAAATGTCCAAAATGACGTGCGCTGACATGCTTGCAATACCACCCCGGGCCGATGGGGCTGGATCCAGAATAAGAATTAGCCAATGCTAATGTATAGCATCTTCTTACCTCTCAAAAACAGCTTGAGAGGATGGTCAAAGTCCTCCCTGGTTATTGTATCTTATGGTCAATTCTAAAATGTGTGTTTTTCAGGTTGGCCAGGTTTTCCTCTACTTCCAGTGGTGAGTTTATTCTCTCCGCATTTGTCTGTTTCCCTAAAGATTGTGTGAGGTGTATTTTCACTTATTTTGAAACAGTACTGTACTTGCGTAAAGTATTTTTCAACAATAAGTATGTTTAGATTAGTCCTTCCCCTTGGCATGACTACGACCAGTAAAATTTCCTGGAGGAGAACCGATGAACCAATTACGGGGGTTCTCAAGGATGAAATGTACTGGACACTTTAAAGCTTGGGTTTCTAACTTTCATGGCACAAAAAAATGCATGTAATAAAATCCATATGACTCGTTTTATTTTTCACATGCATGTATTTTTGAGGGGCTGGTGCTATGAGACTTGGGTGGCATCTCTGATTGCCACCCCCCCGACCCAGAAATGGATTAAAGGGTAGAAAATGGATGGATGGATGGATGTATTTTTGTGTTACATCTCTAGAAAGAGAAACAAGGGCTCACAGGGCTCTTGTAGTATGAAAAAAAAACGAGATTCTTTCTGTTGGGAAGAATAAATTACGCATTTATGAGAATAAAGTTTGATACTGTGGCATTTTAAAATGCTGTCTTATGTCACACTTCAAATTTCACAGTTATAGTTAAAATCTGAAGATACTGCTAAAAATGCTGTGAAATACTCATATTTAGATCTTCTGTAAGTGAAGCACTTTCCATCTCATGTGTGGTCATTACTAGGCAAGGCAAGTTTATTTGTATAGCACAAGGCACCTCAAAGTGCTGAACAAAATAAGATTGCATTTAAATCATAAATAATCACAAAAAAGAAAGATAACAAAAATATAATGTTGTATGAAGAGGCCTGTCTCACATTTTCAGGAAGATACTAGAAGGTCCTGGTTGAGTGGCCTGGTGCATCTGCTTGCTTGTGTCCAGGGATAACTTGCTCCTGGAAGCTGGCTTCCTGTGCGTGCTGATCTCTCCGCTCACGCTGCTCCGAGGCTGGGGCTCATACTCTGGAGGGCCCCCTCCTCGGGACCACGACACAGTCACCTTCTGGCTGCTGCGCTGGCTGCTCTTCAGGCTCATGTTTGCCTCTGGAGTGGTCAAGCTCACGTCCCGCTGTCCTACATGGTGGGGGCTGACCGGTGAGGCCTAACACACATGGCTAAAGCCTTAGATTTGCAATGTCCCCAATGAGAAATTCACTCGTATGAATAAAGATGACTTATTTCTGCTTTATGCACAGCACTGACGTACCATTATGAGACCCAGTGCATCCCCACGCCTGCAGCCTGGTTCGCCCATCAGCTGCCTGTGTGGTGGCAGAAGCTGAGCGTGGTGGGCACCCTCTTCATCGAGATCGCTGTTCCTCTGCTCTTCTTCAGCCCGCTGCGCAGACTCCGTATCGCTGCCTTCTATTTACAAGTAGGAAGCATCGAATCACATGCAAACAGAAATGCAGCTGAATGAATATAGATAGATTGATAGATACTTTATTTATCCCTCGTAGGAGAAATTCAGGTGTCCAGCTGCAGTACATCAATTATAAACATTTCCAACTAACTAACACTTGAATAAAGTGCACATATTTCTGTTCTGACAATTCACTAGTTACTTTACCTGCTACTATTTTCACTATTTAAAATTACTCCGGTCATTTTCTCTACAAGTTTATTGTTAATCTCTGTAAATACCTCCCGCTGACTACAGTGTGTACTCCACTAGTGAACTATCCTTGAACCAAGTGCAATTATAGCGCCAGAGTTGTATTTTATTTTATTATCTATTAACCTAAATAATATATCTTGTTAGACGTGTGCAATCCAAGTGCTCTTATTCCCTCCTTTTTTCTGCTGTAATGTGTGGCTTACACATGATGACATTGAAATTTCCCCAATGTGGCACAAATCTTTTCTTATGTGTTTTCATGCTTTTGCCCGTAGATTCTGCTGCAAGCGCTCATCATTATTTCTGGGAATTACAACTTCTTCAACTGGCTGACAGTAGCTCTGTGCCTGTCTCTGTTGGATGATGAGCATGTGTACTTCTGGATGCGGAAGCCGTACCGGAGCCTCCACAGCGGTACAGACCTTATGCGGTTTTGTGATCATCCATTCAAAGCATTCATTAGCCTCATTCACACTGAGCGAAGCATTGTTGTGCGCACTCCTCTTTCTTTTATTCCATTCAACTCACTTTATGGGCCTCACAAAAAAAGTCCTGATACACTTTGAGCATATTTTGTCCGGTTCACAACCATAAACATAAAGATTATGTTCACAATTTTTTACTGAATATTCACATACAAGTAACAGATAACTGTGAAAGTAAAATACAAGACAACTGATTCTGTTAGTATAGAAAATATAATGTGAAACGTTAGGCCTGCCCTAGTATTCATCTCTTTTAATCGTGCATCTAATTGCTTTTAAAACATTCCTAATAACTGCTGAATGTTCACACGTTGCCCTAATCATTAAATAGAGGCCACTGGTGTGTCTCCTCTCAGTAGAACTTTTCTGTCTCTAGATATGCATATCTTGTAGAGTCATACCCCAAAAGACTTACTGCTGTTATGAATGAAACAGAATCTTGTTTCCTTTACTTTCACTTTCACTCAGTCGTCTGTGTACATTTTCAGTAAAAAAGGGTTGTAAACATGCCAAAATGTGTAAACGTTCAAGCTGTATTCATACTTTTGTACGCACTGTATTTTTGGATAGCTCTAAATATCAACAGTAGTAATCTCGGAGGACTTAACATAGTCGTCAATTTTCCAACATGCAGTATATCAGAGAAGTAAACAGCTCAAACTCATGAAATACAACAATAAATAACACAGAGCCTTTGGTCCATAAGCAGCATTTGACCAACGTTAATAGATGTCCATAAAAGTACTTTCTGACCTGGATCATCCCACCCCATCTCCAAAAAAAGAGAGAAAAGTGAGAGACCTCGGGGAGATCAGATCAGCAGGCTCTCATCTCATACAGTGTCCTTACAGTGTGAGCAGCTGAACGCATGTGACTGTCCTCTTATGCAACTCTCTAGCTGAATGATTTTGAAGCGCCTGGCCTCCTGTTATTTTTTGCCCAGTGCAGCTCCAGACGGGCTTCATCCCTCCACCTTACCCCTGTGCTCAGTTTCATGTACTGCACATACTAGTCGGTCGAACAGTCAACAAGTTAGCTCAATCGCGGGTCTGCAGAATGAAAGAAATACTAAAATGTTCAGGTATCCTTGTCATGATGTTGTGTCTTGTTTGCAGAGTCCAGGCTTTGGGCGTGGCTAACCTACATCGTGGAGCTGGCGGTGTGGGCACTCCTGCTGTTTGGGGCCTTTATCTGTTTTGACCTGCAGATTGACACACAGAAGAAAAGCATCAGCTCCAGGACTGGTATATGGAGCCATCAAATACGGTCTTCTCCTCAAAGTTCTGCTTAAATGGGGCGTTTGTCATGTGCTTCATTTCAGCCTTCACATTCCACCAGTTTAACCTGTTTCTGAAGGAGGTGACCTTCCCCAGTGTGTGGGTGGGGGTCCTGTCTCTCACCTGGGAGATGATCTCAGCCATGTTCAGGTCAGTGTTGTTCACCAGGGACTAGGGTTGCATCTCAAATGTTTTTTCTTGCCTCCTCCCTTCTTTAGTTCCTCCAGGAGACGTGTGAGGCTCTGTCATAATGATTCTAAATGTTTAGTAAGGTTTCCAAATGGTGACCCCCTACTGTGAAGATTTGCTCCAACCAGACAACAGATACAGATACTGACATTTCTGGGACTATCCTGGGAAAGTAAATGACCTTAAATACATGAAAAGGGCCAACATGAATACTAATTTGACATGTTATTTGATATTTTAAGTCTTCCATGTGCTGTGCCTGTGCTTCCAGGTGTGCGTGTGTGAGGGGGTTCCTCCGTAGGCTCTGGGGGTCTCTGCAGTGGGGGCTGTGTGGAGCAGCAGCTGTGACTATGTTCAGCATCAGTCTGGTCAGTACTCGACACAAGACATTATCAACTATTAAATGGAAACGGTTATTTCATTCACTGTCGGCTTATACTCACACATTTCTCTTATTCTGAATATGTAATGATGCATACTCGGTGTGAAGATACATAAAGATTTGTGAGGATTCTCAGGTTCTTTCAATTTTATTACTCTAAATATTCTTTTAATCCACTGAAAAGAAGGATATGTGTCGTTGTCCTAAGTTCAACATGACCACCTCCTATAACCCGAGCTGTGATTGGCCACCTGTACACAAGTAGTATAAATGTTTGAGGAATACTAATTCTGTAACGGTTTTTTGTGACATTGAACCCTGATGAAAAAGCCATTTGTGTGCACTGCATATCTTCACTTTTTACACCATAAATATCAATATTATTGCGAATCTTAAATATTATTGCCTATCTCAACATATTTTAAGATAGAGCAAGTATTGCGAATCGATTTTGTGATATATTGTAATTCATGTGCCCCATATTATTTAAAATAAATAAAAAAAATTAGGAAATAAAAATGCTTAACTCCTCTGTCACATTTATTATGGTCTGCCCATTAACTGAAGTTACCCTATACTTAGGAGGGTAGCGCAAAAACACTAACCCTACATTATTCATTATTTTCTGAAACGATGACCTCTCACATGGTGAGATCCCAGCACATCACTTGCATTATTCAAATACAACAAACTAGAGTTACAAGAAGCAGACATCATAGAGCAGGCTGGATTCGTCTGCATATCTGGCAACCTGAGTCGGGGAGAGTGGGAGAGGTTGCAGTACCACTTTTGGCTAGATTTATATATACTGCTTTCAATAAATATGGACATATTATTATTAGTCCACAACAGCCAAAATCCAGTCAAAACAGTTTTTAAATCCATGCATTGTCAGAGTAAACTCAGAAAAAACATGAAAGGAAACTGATAATTATTTGAATAGCTATTGCAATATTTAGCTCTACTGTATCCATTTAATTGTTTGCTCAAAATATTGTGATATTGAATTTAAATCCAGTGATACTGAATCCAGTCAGAATATTTTTTTCCCCCACCACTAGTTTGCTCTGACACAAACATTGCCACACTTTCTGTAGTCACTGATAGAAGTGTTTGTTTCCAGGTGCCCTTCACATATATTGAATATGACTCTCATGCAAACCTGTGGCCTGTGGTGACCCAGGCCCATGGGCTGGTGGACCGCTACCAGCTAGTCAACTCCTACGGCCTCTTCAGACGCATGACTGGGGTGGGGGGCCGACCTGAGGTGGTCATCGAGGGCAGTCATGACGCAGTCACATGGGTGGTATGTGCCACACACGCACACATTACTGTTGAACTATTGAAGTAGGGTAGATTTAAGACGTTGACAAGAAGATATTTCAGTCTGACATTATTTGCCAATGCCTGATTTGATATTCCCCCCTCAAATCACAGTTAACAGGTATTTCTAAACGACTACAACACAGCTGAGTAAAGTAAATCTCTATTCTTGGTCTTTTATCCCACACCATTGAAACAATACATAAATCCAGTCCCTGGTGTTATGTCTGTATTGCTGTGACTCTTTTTGGGATGACAATTTCAATGCAGATATTCAAAAATTTGAAAAATTAACCTTTTTATTGTTGTCTCAACAGAAAGAATTGGTTCTTTCTTTTGAGACAAACAAATTGTGTTTATGAAACAGCAAAACTAAATCCGCCAGCTTTTAAGTTTTCGGATTAATAATTTGAATGAATCTCATTAAACTGAGATTTTTGTAATTGTATAAATAATTATTCCATACATATCATACAATACATCTTTATCAAAATACTGTTGGTGACAATGTGTTCCAGTGAAAATCAAAGCAGCGTGTTGTGTGTCGTCCCTGACAGGAGATAGAGTTTATGTACAAACCGGGGAACATGAGTGCGCCCCCACCCCTGGTGACCCCCCACCAGCCCCGCCTAGACTGGCAGATGTGGTTCGCTGCCCTGGGACCTCAACAGCAGTCCCCTTGGTTCAGCAGCCTCATGCACCGCCTGCTGCAGGGCAAACAGGACGGTACGCTGCAAAAGCCTTGCATGTATGACAAAATAAACGGGAGTAATCGATATTTAACATTTGAGAGTGTACTAATATATTTCAGATGCTTTCCACTTCTTTAAAAAAATCTACTACCGCGATGCTTTAACCATCTTCATTACTCGCCTCTATTACACTAAAGTTGGAGACCCTATACTTAATTCTTACTTCTTCATTATGCTAAAGATTTTGTTCTTGCGTCGTATGCTCTGTGCTCCTCATTTCTACTGTTCTGTAACCAGTGATGCAACACAATATCTTAATCTTAATCTTCATTGTTAAAATAATTTAACCATCTTCATTTTTAACCATCTGTTGTTTATCTTTTCTATAACAGTGATAGAGTTGATCCAGTCTGACATCAGTCAGTACCCGTTCCACCTGCAGCCCCCTGCCTACCTGCGTGCACGTCGCTACAAGTACTGGTTTACGGAGCCCAAGGCCGATGGGTAAAAGCTCTACTTTGCTTTAATGATTCCCATTTCTCGGGCTGTAACAAGTTAAGGAGTTCATCTCAAATAATATATTATTGAAATGGTTAATAATCAAATACTTTTTTTTATCTTCCTTTGACTAACCTGGCGACGATTACAAATAGCCTAGCCTAGTGTATACTTGCGCGGAGCTTACGGAGGTGACGTGACGTCACTTGCGCAACGCGTTGGTCACCTTAAGGCCCTTACGTTGCCTGTCCTGCAGCATTGAAATTTTCTAACTACGTAAGGGTCGCCGCAAGGAATCTCCGCTGTGATTGGTCCGTGTGTGTGTATTGGAAAGAAGCACGGAGCGGCTGCAGCTGGGACATGGAGGAGGCACTATGGAGCAGAGAGCTTTGTGCTTCGAAGGAAAAGCAGTTTGGGCTCAGAGCCTGATATACAGGAGAGTGTGGACTATCTAACATATATATAACTTATATCTAACATATATATAACTTATAAACTGTGCACTCGTTTGTTTTGCACTGTTCCTGTCTTTGTTTGAATCGTAGCTGTGTTTGTTGCTTTCCTCCTGCACTCGTAAATCGTTCATGTTTGTCTCAGATATTTACCACTATTATTGTTTTGCTGTTTGTGCTGAAAACTATTTAATAATAACTATGTTTCCAACAAGAACTGTGTCTTTATTCACAGCATCACAGTTGAAATGACTTATAAAATAATGAATCCATAAAACTATCACATAAACCTACAGAAGAAACACGTGTAATGAGCTCAAACAGCTTTGTTTGCTATTGTTGTTCTGAAGAGGACAAAGTAGCAGCGTAAATGGGACCGCTCCAGTGTGATCGCCCTCATGTGGTTTGTTGTGGGATTACAACATTCTCCTCAAAACTCCGTAAGGGGAACGCGCCAGTATAACATCAATTGTGCTTACGTAGGTCCACCGCAACCGCTAACGTAAGCCACGCCGCGCAAGTATACACTAGGCTTTACGGGTCACAGAATTTTTGGGATCTAAACTCGAAAATAATTGGCCAATTAGTTGATTATCAAAATAATAGCTAATTAAAGCCTACTTACCTCCCTCGCATAGTCTCTGATCTCTGATATACTGATATACTGATTGACAGGTCACTCCCAGAGCGCTGGTGGAGGCGGGTCTATGACCAAGAGTTTTATCCCACAGTGCACCTGGGCAACGCTTTCCTGGAGGGCATGCTCAACCAACATGGACTCAAGGTAACACTACAGATCATGTCACATTAATCATTTTGTATTTCATTTTGTAATTCATTTAATTATTCATTAGAATTGGATAGTGTATATTAATGAACAGCTTCTGCAGTAAATCCCTCAGAATTCCGCAAGGACTAGATTTAATGTTTTAGTGACACTGGAAGAACATGCAAACTTTTCAGACGCTGGAGTGATCGGACATTCACTCCAGCGTGTTCTGGGCCTCATCCTAACGGGACATGCTCAGAACACCTGCCCAGAGAGTTGTCCAGGTGGAAACCTTAATAGATGCAACTCCGCTGCATCTTCTCATTGTGGAGGAGCAGCAGCTTTACTCTGAGCTCCTCACCCTATCTCTAAGGGAGCACCCAGCCACTCTATAGAGGAAAATATGGACCACTTGTATGTTGTCCTGTGGGTCTTTCCCTTAAACCTAAACTGACCATGGGTCAGACCAACTGTCTTTAGCTCGTTTTACAGTGCTTTATATCAGGACCTTTTATGGTTTGGTTTTTGGGCAGAGTATTTTCAGATGGCAAATATTCAATGAAGAAAGGGTGAACTCTAACCGAACAAGACCACTATTATGTCGTTGTATGCATACTGACTTGTCCCCCCTCCCCATAGGACTCCTCTCCTTCGCGTCGCGCCTCCAAAGCCAGACTCGCCCGCGCCCTGAGGTGGGTGCGCTCCCAGGTGCGAGGAGTAGCCGCCCCTTCCTTAGTGTGGACTCTGTTGGGATGCAGCTCCCTCTTCTGCCTGCTCAGAGCACTCCAGAGTACCCGCCACAAAGCCACCGCTGACAAACGGGAGGAGAAGGATGAGAAGAATGAGAAGGATGAGGAGGATGAGGGGAGCATTAGAAGCATAGAGCAGAGAGACACTCCAGACCAGTCTCAGGAGGAGGAGGAGGAGGAGGCAGATGATGACGAGAAGGTGGTGGAGGAGGATGAGGAGGACATGGGTGATGAGAAAATAGCCAGATAAATGTACATCACAAAAGGCCTTTATATTTGTAGACATGACTTCTCCTGGTGGGATAGAACTCCTGCTAAATGTTTTACTAGTTTTACATCAGCCAGGTCTATATAAAGAATATGTTACACAAGAAATAATGCAGATTAGCTCACAAAAATATCTGACTTTTTCCACATTCATTCAACAAGATTCCTTAAGTATTACTTAAGTTCAGATGACAACATGGCATCTAGGTAGCGTGTTTATGTATGTATGTATGTATATAATGCATATACATTATATAAATACATTGGTGTCATATTTACATGTTAAAATACAATAAAATGTTTCCAAACTTGAAACATGACCCCAAAGCTAATTCTCAAAATTTAGAACAAAAATGAATCAGCACTTTTGGTCAACCTTACAGGCAGACGACTGGAAAGCACTGATGGGGATGAGTTGCTCCAAATGCTCTGACTGTTTGTAATAAATGCTGTGACCTGAATGACAGCACATGGTTAGCAGGCGGATACAATCACTCAGAAAACCACTAAAGTTATCAATTCTAGTTAAAGTCCTCTGTGTTTTTGTGAATTTTCTCAACAGTGCTAATATAAGAAATAACCTATTTTCATACATATGGCTAAGTGTTAACATTTTAGAAAGCCAAGTCATGGATTGTGTATATATTTGTGTTGGCTCCACAATAAGCACTGGTTCTATCATGTCCAGCCCTGTCTAATTCTATCGCACTTTATGACCACTGTTTTTTCCCCATTTGTGACGCAAACAAACCATAATGACCGTTTCCTGAGAGACAGATACTGTGCACTACTTTTGATGCGTCTCTATATTTTTGTACGCCGCTCTGAATGATGTCACTCTGCTGTTGCCGTTTCACGACTTGATAAAAGCCACAAAGGATTTGTACAAACGGTTTTATTATTAAATGTTAAATAAAAAGGTGCTTTTCTATGATATCTGAAATTTGACTGGTTTGGATCATTCACAAAGATGTGTCATATTGTCAACATTTTTTCATGTTGTTTTGCATTGGGTTTCACCACTTGAGGATTCCGGGGCAGTATTTGTCAATAAGAGTCTGGTAATATGGCTTCAGCTGCTCCACGTCCGGCAGCTCTGTTGTCTTTGTGTACAAGTCAAATTGGCTGTGAAACAAAGCAACAATTAGAATGGAATACATTTAGAGATGCAGAATGTATTATTACTTAAGGACTGTGCTTTTGTACTGTACTGCAAAAAATATATAAAATATGAGGTTATAAATGCTTAAATCCAATGCTTTTTTGAATCTTGAGTACATTCTGGCAAGATAAAAAGACTAAATGCTTTAAGCTATACAGTTTTATTTCAAGAACTGTTACTTTCTCATTCCAAGGCAGATATTTCTTTTTAAAACATAATTTTGCTTGTTCCAACGGCAAATCTTGTTGGCAGTCAAAATGTGCTCGTATTAAGATACATTTGGCCAAATTTTAGTTTTTTCATCACTTTTTGCTGTGTGGTATAATTTCTTTACAAATAAATATTTTCCAACTGTTCTTTCTTTCTTAACTTTTAAACTCAAATCTCTTTTTCCAGCTTTAATGTGCTCCTAAAAAGAAGTATGTTCCAGTTTCAGTTCTTTCAAAATTCAATGTGATATTGCAAATGTCAGCCCTTCTAGATATGATTGTTATAGAATGTCAATTTCTCACTTAAACTCTTTGACCCAGGGCAGCATCTGGAGGTCCCGGTCGTTGCACAGATGGAAGTAGTCTCCGTGTGAATGCCAGGGGTAGAAGGAATGAAAGCGGATCATGTACAACCCCTGAAACCTCAAGCAAGCTTATGTTATGACACATTTAAAGACAGAAGGAATATTCACGTCTGTCATGTTTTCTTACCTCATCCGGGATGGAGCAGTTGTTAAACTTCAAAACCCGGTACAAATATTCTGTAGGTGAAAAATTACATAAATTGTGATTGTGCTTATTTTTATTTCAGACTTAAGTGTGAATCTCACCATCGTGACCCCAGGACATGAGCACTTTGTCCAACCCACACTGCGTTTCATAGATGCCGCATTCAGTGCTGCTCAAAAGGGAAACGTGTTTATACAACAGACAAAACTGATAAAACGCACAATCATTTTAGTTTAGTTAGTGTTGACACAGAGGCCGTGTTCCTTTGTTTGTAGGCCAGAAAGTATATTAATATGCAGTACAGACCAAAAGTTTGAACACACCTCATTCAAAGAGTTTTTTATTTTCATGATTATGAAAATTGTAGATTCACACTGAAGGCATCAAAACTATGAATTAACTCATCTGGAATTATGTACGTACTCAAAGAAAAAGTATGAAACAACTGAAAATATGTCTTATTCTCGGTTCTTCAAAGTAGCACCTTTTGCTCTGATTACTGCTTCGCACACTCTTGGCTTTCTCATGATGAGGACCTGAAATGATCTGGGTTCCCAGAGATGCTTAGCACTTGTTGGCCCTTTCTCCTTCACTCTGTGGTCCAGCTCCAAAACCATCTGGATTGGGTTCAGGTCCGGTGACTGGAGGCCAGGTCATCTGGCAGCACCCCACCACTCTCCTTATTGGTCAAATAGCCCTTACACAGTCTGGGTGTGAATCTACAGTCAATAGTCATGAAAAGAAAGGAAACTCATTGAATGAGAAAGTGTGTCCAAACTTTTGGTCTGTACTGTATTTATTGTGATGCTTCATGGGACACACAGTGCGTTGTTTTTGTTTGTTTTGAGACTGCAATATTGACCATGACATTAGTTCTACTTGTTCCATAACCTACTACTCCTTGTTGCCATAGTTCTATATTTTGTCGCGTCGTAACTGTTGATTCTCTGATATGTGTTGGCGATTTCAACGGTTTTGTTAAGTCCTCTGAGATGACTACTGTTGTGACTAAGGGCTATACAAGAATAAAGTGAATTGAATTGAATTGAACTCCATCTATACATAAACTTCAGTCTATACAGAGACTTAACTGGTGTGAAAGTACTATAGATGGAGTTGGCTCATCCTTGGTTCTATTGTGTTTCCTTGGGGGGGAAAAAATAATCCGTCGGGTGCACTTCAGAGCCTGATCTTACTTGTAGTTTGGGTTTCTCTCATCTGGATTTTCTTGGAAAGAAGTGTCACGGAAAACAATATTTTTTTGAAACTTGCACCCGACTGGAAAGGTGTCTCCAACCACAGCCCACTGGATATTCACAAGACAAAAACAACTGGTTAGAAACCTGGCTGAGCAACTGGTTGTCGGGACTGTAGCATTATTGGTGATGTACTATTTTGAAAGTAGTAGGATGTTGTTGAACATAGGAACGCCAGCTTTAATGTGTCTAAACTTTCAAACTATCAATCACGCATGTATTTTTGCCTCTGTTTCGTCTTTTAATCCCATTTGTCAGATAGAAAAAAAGGGGACCACACTCTCTCAGCCATCCTCGCTCAGCTAATTACTATTGATAAAAGATAACATGTTTTCTAGTCAGATGAAGACAACATGTTGTGGTCTACTTTGTTCACAAAATATTACTTTTAGACTCTTTCTGTTGGCACAAATAGGCCTGTCATGATAACTAATTTTGATAGATATATATTGCTTCAGAAATATGTTTTGAAAGGACTATTTGTGCTAGTACAATCCAGCAAATTAATCCCAGTAAAGCAATTTTTTGATTTGTCTATCTCATTAAAAACATACACTAATACATTCAACATTATATTGTAATGTCTTATTGAACTTTCGACATCTAAAATATCATTTTTTACAAAGAAAATAGCATCAATTTATCCACTTTTACAAAGAAATTGTACAGGTGTCAAGTATAGAAGCCCAAAATATGTTTTCTTTAATCAGTTATTGAACATTAGTAATTATATGACAGGCCAAGTGCACAAACAAATGGTATTCATGAAGAATGAAATATGCGTCCCAGATTGAAGCATAAAATAAGAATAAGAATAATCTTAGTGAATCTTTATCTTGAATATGAATAATGGAAAACCGTCCCAAGCGTGAGTTGAACACTTGTCAATGGTGTTTATTAAAGTGGACGTTTACCTGCGGCTCGTCCCACAGTGCCATCATCTTGCCCACGTCGTGGATGAGCCCCACCAGCGGGAACCAGTCTGTACAGACATGGGGGGTCAGTGTGTGTACAAGTATTGTATTGTAATTAATTATACAATATTTTTTAATGCATTTTAACTCCCACATTCTGTGCACACTGGGGTATATCTTGCACAGAATCTTGAAATATCAGTGCAGACACAAGACAAGAGACAGGTTCTAGTCGAGGCAGAGATCCTGATTGGGACTTTGAGCTGAGAATGTATTCACTCTAATTTTAACTTTTATGCTTTGACATTTCCTCTGTTGTTACTTGCAGGAATAATAACAATTAAAAACATCTAGACCCGCTTTGTAATCCGTAAGTTAGCTGTGATTTCAGGAAGGAGTGTCGCTTCTTGAGGATTTGCTCCATATTAAAAGTCAAAGCATTACAATCTTCGGAATGGAACATAGCAACTAAAAACTAGCAACTAAAACCAGAATATGTATTTAGTTTTCTCTTTTCCCTACGCTCTGAGCTCTGAGGTTTTGACTCTGCTCAAGTTGACTTCTTTAACAAGGGGCATGACTGCAGAAGAGGAGGAGTTCTCTGGGAGCTCTGATGTACCTTTATCGGGGTGCTCCCTGCGGATGCCCTCTGCGGTCTGAAAGGCGTGGAAAGAGTTGGGGAAGTCCACATCTGGGTCGGACTCATCCACCAGCTGGTCCAGGGACATGACGGCCTCCATCATCCCCATCTCACTGTGGCTGAAGCAGGTCCACTCTGCGTGCTGAGGGAACACACACACTGGAGCATGGCGGCACACACAACACACACATCCTGGAGAGACAGCTTAGTGATGGCTGTTTTGTTTTGATGGTAGTGAGTCGAGACAAGGAATGCACTGAAATTTTTTGTTTTTGTTTTATCATGGTGATTCTAAGGCTTCACTGTTTATTATCAGAAATAACATTATTGAAAGCAACTGAAGTACAAATTTCACTAAACCATGAATTTACAATTGCTTGAGTTGTGTGGTTCTCTGTTGTCTGTCGTTATCTTTTTTCTTTTTTTATTATTTCATTTTTCACATTTTTAATTTACATCACAGCAACTTTTACCTCAATTTGTCTTTGTTTTTTTGGAAAAGGTCTGAGTGAATTTTCTTTCATTTTATGTGTAGTAGTTTTGGAACTCAAATGTGCTGTACAAATAAAGTATAATTAAATATTCTTTCCCAAGTTAGATGTATTTATTTATTTATTTATTTATAACTGGGACAGTGCATATTAATGAACATTTCTGTAAATATGCCAGAATTAGCCAAACACAATCTTTTCACAAGATGCAAGATTCACAAGACTTTTGGATGACTGAATGAGTGTGCTGACCTTCTGCTTGACAAACTTCAGGGTCTGGTTGGTGTGCATCAGTTTGTAGGTATTAAAAACTCGATCGATCAAATCTCCATTCTGAAACACAAAGTTCATCACCAAGGTTCTTCTTTTACCATGTTACACCACTGTTCCTCTGGTTCACTTTAACTGAACCAAAGAAATGCTTTATCTGAGTATGTAAAACTACCAAACCAAAAGTCAGTTTACATATTTTCAAACACATTTTCCCCACTAGTGGGGAGACGGCTTCACACAAGTGTGAAGCCGTCTCTCTCAAACTTGATCAGCCAAAGATAGTTCAAAATATGCGATACAGTGACCCAACTAAATAAACAACCCAGGACCTTCTTTCTGTGAAGTGTTAACCATTGGGCCACCGTTCTGAGACATATGAAACACCCTCATCTTTGGTGATTCTAAGATTCATCAGAATTCTAGGATCACGGCACACTGAGGAGCTCTCCCCTGCCACTTCTTAACAGTCAGACCTCTGCTTGAGGACCTCTCTGAGACTTCCTCTTCAGGACCTCTGCTTTGACCTGGCCCGTAACATATAAACTTTAGCTTGTGGACGTTTCTAGCACTGGAACAAATGGACCTCTGCTGAAGAAACTAGCAAAATGCCTTTAAATGATTTTGGGATTTTTTTCCAGTTCTTATACTGCATTCCTCCAATTAGACCCCCCATCATAGATTTATAAGATGGCATTGTTGACAAATAGTCACTCTATTGGTCTTCTATTTATTAAAAATACGTAATATGATAGAAGACTCATTACTTAACATCATAAATAATTTATAAACTCAACCACATTTACGGACTTCATCAACATTTATGGACATTGGTCATCTGCCCCTTATGGATCAATGGCTCAATGTGTTTCTTTTATCATTGTGTTTCTTGTGTTTGAACTGTTTGATTCTCTGATCTGTACTGGAGAATTCGACGGTTTGTAAAGTCTTTTGACAAAATTACTGTTGTGAGTAAGGGCTACAAGAACAAATTAAATTGAATTCAATTGAAGCAGAAATACTGTGGAGGGTCTTGTCGTAAATAGGACATCGTTAGCCAATCATTAACTCATGGTTTACAAATAACAATGACATCCATCATCATTTTTTTTAAGAGGAACCATTTTCTCACATCATCTTATTTGAAACATTAAAATGGTAGCATGATGTTCTGGGACAGTTTTATCCTCATGCCATGATGAAAAGTTGCTGCTGCTTTGGTTTTACTTACAACAACAAAAGCACTTGAACAGAACACATTGTAATAACTAATAGTTCACAAGTGGAAAGGATCCTCTTTACCAGAGCACATAAAACCACCTTGGCCTCACCTCATAGTTTCTGTACTCTTCCTTCTCTTTTTTCATCTCCTCCACATTGGGCCGATAAGTCAGGGAAGGATCTGGACCCTGCATTCAGATGTAAAAGTAATTTCAGAACACACACTTATAACAGAGCGTGTGGAGCAAATCCATACCATGTTGACGATCCTCATGGTGGCTGTGGTCTGCTGTCCTCTGTTGACCGCCTTGTCCACTCATGTTTATATACACTGGACCTGTCACACTTTAACCAGCGCTGTGCAGTGCTCAACCCTTGGCCCTCTCCAAATGTGCACTTTTTTCAATTATTCTCCAGTAACATGTTCCCACAATGTAGTATGACTCAGTGTTTCTTACGTGTTAATCATTTTTAATTAATCACATGCATAACATCAAGATATATCCTGTTATATAACTATTTGTTAACATCAGATGTCAGCGCCATTTCTTTGCATTCAGGCTAATCAAACAAAGTGTTCATACTGTGTTGTTTTTCTTTCAAGATGTTTTGTTCTTTCTGCTCCATATATGCCTCCATATAGAGACCAATTCATATTTGTACGAATTGGTATTCAAAGGTTTCGTGTTATTTTTGAAGCACTGAATTCTGTTTGTGCTTTCTGCACTGAAAGGTCATTGTCCTATGTATTTGTTTTATAGAAAAACAGGCAGGGGCTCAAATCCTCACTCCCTATTGGCTAAAACTATAGATCTGTAAAAGTTGTTTTCTTCCAGCAAAGTAATACTCCAAAAGCTCAACTGGTTGATAGTCTCACGGTCTTTATGAATTAGTGTTAGTTGATTATGTGTGTATGTTTCTGAGTACAAGAGGAGGCCAGGTGTGTGAGTTTTCCCCAGCCACAATGAACCTTGGTCGGTGGTCACGCTCACTCCACACTCCAAACTTTTTTCTTTTTGTCTAATTCACCTAAAGTAACCTTCATATAATGCACATGACAACTTCTCTTGAGCGACATTTCTAAAAGTAAAATGTTGTGAACAAATCAGACCGAAACACACAAACCACTAGTGCATATTTATAAGAAAGAGGCCTGTGAGTCACTATTTGTCGCTTTGGCCTGAGACCTGTGTGAGTTAGGTTGGTCCGAACTTTTTCACTTTTCTCTCTGAAAAAGATTATCTAAATGTGACACAGGTCAAAAATACATGTGTGTGAAGATAGGATAACCTTTATTTGTTCCGCAGTGGGAATGTGAAAACTGTTAACTACACTATTATTATAATCTCAACCGAGAGACAGTTTACTGAGGTTAAAGTTATTAAAAGTAGGACCAATGTAAAGCGCACAGACTGCTGTTCCCACTCTCACCACTAGTAGGCCTCACATCAGCCACTGCAGATTCTGCTTTTAACAGAGGTTCTCAAATGTTTTCAGTCAACAGACCCCTCGTTGGCCTTTAAAACATTTTTATTCCAGATATGTCCTCTTACTGCAGGCATGTCAAACTCAGGCTCATGGGCCAAATCAGGCCCGCAAGAATTTTTAGTGGCCCCTAAAATTATTTTCAATTATTATTATTAACTTGCAGTATTGATGGTTGTGGGCTACCAAGACATGTCATACATCTACTCTTTTCTTAGGAAAACAACTACATTTAATTTATTCTAAAATGTTTACCCAACAGATCATTAGGTTTTAAATAGTTAGATATAAAACAATGTGTTTAACTATATATTTAGTCCAGTTTGTTTTCAGAAAAATCAACCAAAAAATACTAGTGAAACTCATGTCAAAATACCTGCTTCGGGCCATTGACTAGTTTCTTTTATATTTTTATATTTCTTGTCATAAATCAGTTTGACACCTCTGTCTTACTGCATCCAATCTCAGGTGTCAAATTCGACATCATGTGAGAAAAGTGCTCACTAACACAGATGTAGACGGATTTGTGAACGAAAGTTGACTGAAAACAGTGCACAGTGTAACTAAATATGTATCAATCAATCATTCAATCAACGTTTATTTGTATAGCGCCTTTCCTACACAAGGCAACGCAAAGCGCTTCACATCCCCTATCACATCATGCATAAATCAAACACATTAAGAGCACAAGATATATTAAAAACATTAAAAATAAAATCACAAAAATTAAAAACCTTTAAACATTAAAATCACAGATGGGACTAAAATCATAAATAGTCACAGTGCATTAAAAAGATTAAAGATAAAAACAAAGATGAAAAGATAAAATCATTCAGTTGTATATGCGCAGCTAAACAGAATTGTTTTGAGCCTAGATTTAAAGGATGCCAGAGTAGACGCCTGTCTCACATTCTCAGGAAGACGGTTCCAGACTCTAGCCGCATGAATCTGAAATGCAGTTTGCCCATGTCTAGTACCGACTCTGGGCACTAACAGGAGTCCAGTCCCTGTGCTCCTCAGAGTCCGGGTCGGTTCATATGGCACAAACATGTCGTGGATGTACCTTGGCGCGAGACCATGGAGAGACTTGTACACAAGTAAAGCTGCTTTGAAGTCTATTCTCTGAGGAACAGGAAGCCAGTGCAGAGACCTGAGAACTGGACTAATGTGGTCGCACTTCCTAGTTCTGGGTATGTACTGAGTATTAGTGTATTTTGTAAATGCAGTAAAACTTCTACATCCTCTGCTTCCCCTTTTTTTTATCATCATTGTAAAACAAAACACTACAATACACAGAACACAGAACCTCAGCGACTTCAGAAGGGGGCAGTCTAGAGTTGGAATATTCTGTAAGTACACATCAACCCTACCTCTCCCCCAAAACACAAATTACATTGTTTCCAAATTACACAAAAAAAATCTTTTGAACTAGAATATAGTCTTGTTAGTTTGTGTCAGGTCTCATTGCACAGAGATAATAATTTATATTTGTGTTTATCTTGAGAATAAAATTGTACTAGCATGTCTCAAAATTATTTAATATAGTGAAAAAAGTGAATATCACTGCACCTAAGGTAAATATTTACATTATATACTATATATTTATTTTACCTTTTCTCAAAATTAATTATTTGGGATGTACAAGTTCCTGATTTCAGCACTTCGACCTTTTCAAGAGACACAGACATGGACACCACAAAGAACAGAGTCAAAAGACTTTGACCAGACACACACAGACCCAGGCTCGCTCAGAGGAAGCTGACACTCCTTTGACAACCCCATAACACACCTCGGTTTATAATCACATCACAAACCCTCAAACTGTTACAAACATCAATAACTACATTTTAAGTAAGTTATCTTTATTTATATAGCGCCTTTCACAGACCAGAGTCACAAAGCGCTTTTCAATTGCTGTGTAGTAATAGTAATCTTTATTTATATACCGCCTTTTCACTGCACATCGGAGTCTCAAAGCAGTTTACAATTGTGATTTTTGGGAGGGGGGGTGCCAGTACAGGAGGCACATGCCAGACCTATTGTACATATTTTTAGTGGTAGGGGAAACCGGAGCACCCGGAGGAAACCTACGCAGACACGGGGAGAACATGCAAACTCCACTCAGAAAGGCCCTGGTCCAACCGGGATTTGAACCCAGGACCACCGTGCCACCCTTTATTGCCCACAGGGCAATAAATTGCCCCTTTGCCCCTTTTATTGCCCCTTTGCCCCTTTTATTGCCCCTTTATTGCCCTGTGGGCAAGCCTTACGTCAGGAGCAGAGGTTGCCGTATAGTACAGGCCCCGGGAACCCATCCCCAGATGTTGATGCTCGGCTTGGACAGGACCAGAGCTGGAGGATTATACCTAGTGTGATGGGAGCGGGATCTTTAACTTTTGTGGCAATATCCAGCAATAATAGACACACACAAACACCCCCCCCCCACCCCCCCACACACACATTAGAATCCCCCTCCCCTCTCTGCTTTCTTGTATTCCTCATCTGTATGAATCTTACGTAAATATTGATGTGCATTGTTTCTGTGTAATGCAATTTTGTTTCTTTCCTGGTTACCTTTTCTTGTTGCTTCCAAACAAATGAATAAATAAATAACGGACACAGGTGATAACTTGTAACATGTTTATTATACATCACCGCTGTTATAAAAGTATTAGACACATGGTTGACAAAGGGCACTTTCCAAAGGGCTCACACAGTATTTACACATATATAATAATAATAATAATGATACTACATAAAACTTATATATGCTTGTTATCAGCAGTGGGAACACAGCTGCTGCTTTTAGAATGCCTCCTATTGACTTCACATGATGAGGACAGTGCACTGGTTCAATTGTTTTTCTTTAGACAAAAAAATGTCTTAATGATAATTTATTTATTTTCTTAATGTAAGTGAAACAAGACAATTTAGTTATTTTTGATTATTATTACTTTTATTATTTTTACATTTCTGGTGGATTTTTAGTTTGTGTAGAAAATGTATAAAATATATTCACAGTTCATAAAGTTTTCTGTAATTAACAACAACAATTCTTTTGACTCAGCTTCTGAATCCAGGACACTTTCTAAACAGCAACCTGGCTTCACATACATTTCCCTGCACATTTTCATGTATTTATTTATATTTCTAGTTTCAGGGATCCACTCTTTGTCTGTTTCACATAAAAGAGTTACTGTAACACAGTCACAATACATGTTTTTTTGTTTGTAACAACAACATGTTTTAGGAGGTTTCATATGGAGACATTTTGCTGCAATTTAATAAAAAATACTATCTAATACAGTTTAAGGAAAATTTACTTTTATCACAGATTTCACATATAAATGCAACTAAAAGCATTTGCGCAATAGTTATTATTATTTTTTGATAAATATCTTGTCTACCAACAGTACACTCACTCTATGCTGAAGGCAGACCTGTGAATGTAAGGCTCAGCAGTGTAAGAGCACAGTGGGACGTCCCAGGGATTAGGGTTAGGTTATTTTGGCGCCCTGGTTCAGATGTATGGTTATCAGGTTTGGCTTATTCTTTATTTGAGAGAATGGATTAGGAGGTTTAGAGCAGGGCAGACTAAAGCAGAGCTGATGACGGCAGCAGGGAGCCACACTTGAGGATGAGCTCTGGTTACCACATCAGGAGAGTCGTAATGCCATTAGAACCCTGCTTCAGCTGTCTGATGAATGAACCCAAGTGAGACCTCATTCTCAGCCTCCCAGCCTGAAACCTGTAAGCAAACACCACGCTCAATGTACGTTTTAAATATTTGGCTTTTCAAATCCTATTAATGATTTTTGCCTCACTTCAATAGTCCTGTACCAGAGCATATTACAGAATCTGTAATACAGATTGATCTATAGATGTATACTTTATGAATCCCTAATTTCAATAGTTGGGCAAAGATTATGCAAACATCAAATCTTATATAGATATGTACCTATTCTTTGCACTAGAGTATCTACGTTGATACTTTATACGTTTATACTTCAAAGTTTATTAAGCTAAAGATACATTTTTCAAGTATAGAGTGCTATAATTAATACACACTTTTTTTATTTTGTGTTTGTGTACTCCTCATTCCTGCTGTTACACCACTGTGGGACAAACAAAATGACTTCTTAATGTTAATCTAAATCTTAAGTATTGAGTATTGAGTGGCCTTAACTCGGACTAAACCAGATAATCCTAAAAAATCAAGCTTGAACACACCACTAAAGCATCTACAGTTAGTATTGGAATGATCTAATCTTTTAAGTGGACTGTTAGTTGTACAGTAGTTTGAGAAAGAAAACAAAACTAGGCTATGCTCACACTCAGAGAGCAGCCGTCCTCCTGTGGACTCACCACCTGCAGAGGGTCAGTGAGGGGCTGGTGCTATGAGACTTGGGTGGCATCTCTGATTGCCACCCCCCTGACCCAGAAATGGATTAAAGGGTAGAAAATGGATGGATGGATGGATGGATGGAACTGCATCAATCAATCAGCATTTTGCTGCGATGCCATCTGAAACCCAGTAGTTGTCTTATACTTTACTGATCTTAAATGCTTTTGCACAATTTAGACCGCCTTTTGCTACATCTAAAGGCTACAGAACATATATTAAATCTGGGATACAAACTTTTTGCTTCATAGATAATACTAGTTTGTCCCAAAAAAGAGAATGTGAACAAATCAGATCACACCATGCTTCATATTAATAGAAAACATACATTCTTTTACATACTTAGTGACTGACCCTTTTTGACTCTTGAGAACTGTTTGAGGGACCTCTGAAAAAGCCGATCTACAGATGTGACTGAGATCTAAAATACATGCATGTGAAAGTTACCAATAATAATTTTGGACGCTCGAAGACGCTTCACATGTCATTATTCATTCACTCCAAACACGGTGGTGATGAACTATTTCAGTAGCCCCAGCTGACCTGGGGCACACTGACAGAAGCAAGGCAACCAGTGTGTGCCATCGGCCCCTCTGACCAACACCAACCAGTCACTCACATACCAGACTTATAAGTGTCTTGCCTAAGTACACAATGACTATTTGGCACATTACAGCCGCAGCCATCCCACTGTGGCACCAGGTGTTCCCAGAGGTCTCCCATCACACTATTAACCAGGCCCTGATTAATGATACAACCAAACGGTTTTGAGAGAGACCAACGAGTTCTATGGATTTGATTACATTGTATTACGACGTTAGGTACCCCAGCTTTTGCGAGAACTTGACATCCAGGTGCTTGCTCTGACAGCTCTCGACTAAGGCACAGTGTGATTGGTCAACTCTGGTCCACTCTGGTCCACTCTTGTCCTCTCTGGTCCACTCTTGCCCTCTCCTATCCGTAGCTATGGGGACTGCGGGGGTTGATGGGGGAGGAGTCCTCTCTGCCGCTCTGTCCGATCAGCTGGTACAGACGATGACTCAGGTTCTGGACCTGACAGGTGCCCAGGACACAGCCCACCCGCATCAGATGTGCCCGCCCCCCAATACTGTTCACGTGACGTTTGACCCGCACCAGTCCTGCTCCTGCTGCTGTCCCGCGTGAGTGAGGTGTGGGAGGGTCTTTGTGGACCAGCGCATTCCAGATGAGCTGGGTGTCAGTCAGCTGGAGGCCGTGGTCCATGAAAATCGGGACTGGGGGCCCTGAGATGGAGGGAACAGACCCTGGAGTCTCTGTGTGTTGCTGTCTGGAACAAAACAAACAAAAGGACACGATTACTGATTGAATTTACAGCCAAACATTTTTTAGTGGTGGAAGAAAAGGAACAAGATAAATCACTATAAAGTGAGAGCAATTCAACTTTCCCCAAGGGCCTGACCATGTGAGCGAAGTCTAAACCTGGTCAGGCCCTGTGTGAGCCAGGACTTAACCAGGGCTGCCCCAGGTGAAAACCAGGACCAAACAAGACTGAACAAGTAGGAGCTCTGTGCCACCTCAGGTTGAGTGGAACTCCTCAATCCATGACACTTGAGTTAACTGTGTGTTCCAATTATAAATATTTAGGCCATTTTATATGTGACGACATGTCTGATGATGAGTACTATACATATTAGGCAATGTGGGATGATGTATGCTGAGGCAAACATGCTTGTGCACAGGTTTGGTGCTTGTACAGTGGAGGGGGGAACAGTACATCGTTTTACACAACACACCAATGACAAAATACAAAAAAGCCTCTATACGTCAACTCAATATGGCATACGACAACAGCCTGGTGATTTTACCAAAAAGGCCAAGATGGGACAATGCAAGCACACTGTTTGTGTCTGCTGGAATAAGGACATTTCAGGCTGCCATTCAATGTCTGATGCACAGTTTTATCTGCCGGCTCAACGAAAGCCAGAATAAAATAATCATAAGCCTGACAAATATCAAATTCAGTGCCAAGTGGTACCAGTCTGAACTGTGTAGACACTGGTACAGCGTTTTCTCAGAGGAGGGAGGCTTATTGCTGTGATTATCTGTTGTTTTGTGTTTAATGTGATGTTTGTCTTATCCTGGACCATGAGTCTTTAAAAAAGTTTGATGATGATGATGATGATATTATTAACATTGGCAAATATTGATTTTTGGGTACGTCCTATTCAGAAGAAGAATGGCTTACCTTTGTCAAAATAAACCACTTGAGTAGCACTCTACCAGGACACACTGTTAGCTTTTGATAAGGCATTAAACAAAGAATGACTGTGTTTTGTCTGGGATAAATACTTTCTCTAATCTGTAATCCTGACTGGTATTCTGATTGGCGCTCTGCTTCTTTCACTGTTATGTGCTGATTGCCTTTTTCACTCTGCCGTGCTCCCTTCCGCCGCAGCAGTAAGTAATTCTATTAGTCCTTAGAGCTGAAGTTTGGCTGTTCTGAAAGAGGGATTCTGCATGTAACGTGAGCACCTGGCAACAAGCGGCATGCTGAGATAAGAGACAAACTGAGACCGAAGCGTTTCAAACACACCATAAGCCCACGATATGAGTTTTGTAATAAACATACTCAAACATATGAATCCATATTGTATAATTAAACAAACTTTGTAGAAATTTGACCTTTTCTACGTAGTTTCAGCACAACCTTAATCTTGTATTAGGCAGAGGCGTCCCTTGATTCCTTCATTAAACCAAGCACATCACATCTACACCCAATTTACCACTTCCCGCGCCCTCTTTCTCCAGTAGAAAAAAAAATCCATATTGGTAATTCACATTCTAAAACATGTACATATTCTCAAAGGCCAGAATGAACACAAATAATGTATCATATGAGTTTCTAAAGTGATTTTCCCTCATTCCTCTCATTCCAAGTGCTTGAGTTTGAGGAGCTTCTTCAACATTCCTTCACTTCTCACACACACATATATCCTTGTTTCTCTAACCATCCCAGGACTGTCACAAACACACACACACACCCTAATATCAGGACACTTCTGGACAGGAGAACACCCATTGACGTAATTCTCTACTAACCTTGGCCTTTACAATTGGCCCTGTAATCAATACAACCCTAACCTAATTCTGCCGGAAGCCTTTAACATGTCTTAACCCCAAAAAGGAAGATTTGGAACACTGCACTAATTTGGCGTTGGAGGCTTATGTCAAAAGCTAATTCTTGCACAATTTACAATTTACTGTTGAATTATTGTAGAATGAGATCTTAAAGTAAAACAAAATACGTCAAAATGACATGTATTAGAACCAGTGCTCAATCAGATCTACTGCTGCAAGTCTTCACTCCATGTTAGTTCTGGACATTCTTTTTAATGAAAAAGTCACATCCGTCTAATTTAAGAATAAGAGATCCTTTATGCGAAACCGCAGTGTTGCATCACTGGTTATGTGGGACATGGCCTTTTAATGCACCCGTTGTTTTTATTGCATGTTTTTATTATTAATGCAAGTTTTTATTGGATTTGTTTTTATTATTAATTAATGCATGTTTTTATTGGATTTGTTTTTATTATTAATTAATGCATGTTTTTATTGAAGTTTCTAAGTGTGTGCGGTGCCATGGAGTGCAGGCCCCACCCACTAGTCTGTCGTAGACACTGTGCACCTGTGGCGCACGAAGGACAATTGTCACAGACTTAAAAGTGCTGGGGGGACAGACACAAAACGGAGAGAGAAGGAAGGCATACGAGGGGATCCGGGCAGCAGAACTGAACGGGGCGCAGCCACGCCTGCTGTGCAGCGTTGCAAAGATGGGCGAAGGAAGGAAAAGGGAAAGGCAAACGGGCGTGCAAGAAGAGCCGCAGCAGCAGTGGGACGAGCCAGAGCCTGGTCTGCGGGACGAGCCAGTCCACTGTCGTTTGTTTTTAGATCTTTTTTTACTGACTCTTATGGTGATCACCTATTTATTTGAATATGTTGTAATAAATCTTCTTTTAACTAGACCACCTGGTTTTTACATTGTTCACCCCAGTGGTTTTACCTGTGTTTTTAAATTAGGTCCTAGGTCCTTTTACCTAGGTGGCGTTGCTGACCTTTTTAATGAATTTTAATTTGGTGTTATGTTAAGTGTTTTAAGGCCTTCCCTCGGTCACAGTTACAGAACAGTATAGGAGAGAGGAGCACACAGCACAAGATGAACTATACTTTTATACTGATGAATGCCTGTACTGTTTAGTAAAAAAAAATTAAATCTGAATTTCATGTGATGGATCAGAAAACAATAGTCTAAGTTGGTGAAGTGAATTGAGAAAAATATATACATAAAACATTTTTTTCAGAAATAAAAAATTGGAAATTGGCATGTGCGTATGTATTCACTCCCTTTGTTATGAAGTCCATAAAAAGCTCTGGTGCAACCAATTACCTTCAGAAGTCACATAATTAGTGAAATGATGTCCACTTGTGTGCAATCTAAGTGTCACATGATCTGTCAGTACATATACATACCTTTCAGGTTCAAGTCAGGGTTAGGTTATAAAAAAATATCCAAATCTTTGATGATCCCCAGGAGCACCATCAAATCTATCATAACCAAATGGAAAGAACATGGCGAAAAGGCATGTGGGAGAATCCCAAAATGTATGGCGGAAGGTGCTCTGGTCTGATGGAAAACGCTATGTCTGGTGCAAACCCAACCCAACACATCACATCACCCAAAGAACACCATCCCCACCGTGATACATGGTAGTGGCAGCATCATGCTGTGGGGATGTTTTTCAGCAGCCGGGACTGGGAAACTGGTCAGAGTTGAGGGAAAGATCAAACCATCCAACTTGAAGGAGCTGGAGCAGTTTTGCAAGGAGGAATGGGCAAACATCCCAGTGGTAAGATGTGGCAAGCCCATAGAGATTTATCCAAAGTGACTTGGAGCTGTGATTGCCGCAAAAGGTGGCTCTACAAAGTATTGACTTTAGGGGGGTGAATAGTTATGCACATTGACCTTTTCTGTTATTTTGTCCTATTTGTTGTTTGCTTCACAATAAAAAAAAGACATCTTCAAAGTTGTGGGCACGTTCTGTAAATTAACTGATGCAAATCCTCAAACAATCCATGTTAATTCCACATTTTGAGGCAACAAAACACATAAAATGGGGGTGAATACTTTTGCAAGGCACTGTACATATTTGGAGAATGAATTTAATAAAACATAAAAATCTTAGCTGAGGCATTCACCGAAGTATACATTATATAATTGCATGTGGGAAAAGAAGCTTACATTTATTGCACAATAGAATTCTCAAAGTACAATGCAGTTTGCAGACAAGATTCCAAATTATTAGACACCAGGTTTCAGCCCAAATCAGAGAAAGCCTTTATTCTGATTTGCACACGGCACCAAACATGCAACGCTCAAAGGGGATCTATCAAGGCATTTGACCAGAATTTAGATAATGTTGTTATTAACCATACATGGAATTGTTTGTAGAGACTGATTTTGTAGTTGTGATCAAGAACTCACTGACCGTTGGTTTGTTGTGCAGCTGGAGCACTGTGAGGAACTGCCTGTTGTTTTGTATTTCAGATACATTTTTCCATTGAACATATCTCAGATTATTAGATTATTAGTTATGCTCTTCGTCAAATTCTATCCACACCTGAGAGTTAGTCTGAACTGCTGTAACAAAAACATGATCATCAGTGTAAAGCCTGAACTTCACCTCAGCATCCTCCATATTGTTTTCCTCGCGCTAAAAATGAGTTTCACATGGCTACTGATTTCACAGTGAAAACTCATGGCCGATATGAAACAGTGGGTTACAATCGGACTTGGGGCCAACGCTTCCTAGGGTTAGGGCAAGTGTTTAGTTCTAAATCTGTCCTAAGTAAATAAACCTATACAGAATGTATGAAACATGTAGCAGATGGCCCATCTCTCTGTCTGACAGATGCAGCCTGTCTAATGCTGTCTATAGCCCCTGTCGCAGCCCTGACCCCTGCCCTTGCCTTGACCCTTGTCCCAGCCATAGATTGTATTGGAATAGAGCAGGGAATTGCTCAATCGGCTCCAGTCACTTACATTGGTAAGTTTGCCACATAGGTTTATTGCCACATAGGTAAATTTCATCCTAATCAAAATATGTGATTCTTTAAGATCCTGGTGTTTATTTGGATAATGTCCACTCCTTAGTCCACTCCTTCAGTCTATGACTGAATTCCCGTTCCTGTCCCCTGTCCCAGCCATGCCCCCTGTGGCTGAACTCACGCATCTCCCACTGTGCATGAGAGGCTCACCCAGATCACTTTTACTGTTTCATGACAAATGCACTACTCATTTGTCTATGAAGGAAAGCCACTGGTTTCCTGCATCATGTATAAAACAAGAATCCTTACAGAATTCACAGACTATTCCTCAAAACGTTAATGTTTCTCATTAAATCAAGAACATGCTCATGAGCATAGAGTGACCAAACAAAATTTGACCAATTTGACATCACCAACAGTAGAGAGAAGCATCATTATTTCAGACAAAAATTAAACACTAATTCTGCAGCAGATTAATTGGAAACGTAAAACCATCCAATAGGTCAATTAGTAGAGTACATTATTGACTTAATTACTGTTTCAAATGTAATGTAGGGTGACCATCTATTGCTGGTGTGCAGAAAGTCTCACGAGTTTCTTGTGATTTCCCCACTTTTTCATTAAAACAACATTTGTATTCCCATCTGTGCAGAATTACCTGTGAGTGAGAGTCAAAGCCTGAGTCTCTGGAGGCAGGATGCTGAGCAGCAAGCAGATCCAAGCCCAGAGCAGCGTGCACATCCCGGGTCAGCGGTGATGTGTGCTCTGATGAGCCCAGGAGCCTTCACAAAATGTTTGCAAAATTACAATCTAACAAAAAAACGCCCCGGAAAACATTCTCAAATGCGACATCCTTAGCTCAGCTTGATTCAATTCCACTGTAGTGAAGGAGTGAGTTGGTTAATGAAGCCCAGCCGAGGAGGAGGGCGCTGGGCAGGAGGTGGGCTTATAGAGGCTATTGTCCCAAACACAGTCTCACCTCCATGAGACCTCCACTCTTCTCAACTCTTCACATAAAACAGCCAGACTGTATATTCAATCCAAGATCCACTTTGTGCTGTTTCTCTGTCTGGCCAGGGCACGCTGACCTCACAGCATAGCGTTTGGACTGTATTATTGGATTTAGTGTGCTTTTAAACAGAACGTCTATTTAAGGCTGGAGTTGACTTGACCCAGTTGACGAGCTAACGAGGGACGTGGTGACGTCATATTAAATTAATAGGACTACGCTGCAAAAAGTTGATTTTAAAAAGTTTTTTTAAAAGTCAGATATAAGAAAAAATAAACTTGTGCTTTTAAGAAAAGCTTGAGGTACATTGATGAAACATATTTATTGTTATTGCTTATTTGGTTGGGACAGTGCATGTTAATGAACATGGACTTTAGACTTGGGCTAATTTGCATCTGTTGTCCCACAGTTGCGCTCACAAACACGCACTCATTCATTCTGAACTATTGTTCATGTTTTTAGTGGTATGGGAAACCGGAGGAAACCTACGCCGACACCGGGGGAACATGCACATAAAGGTCTGGAGATAGAATGGAATCCAGGACGTTCTCAATGTGAAGCCCAAGTGCTAACCGCTGCGCCACCGTGTCACCATGTGCATTCTTTAAAACTCATACATAACTCCAAGCCTGTTCTCAATGATGATACACTTCTGTGCTTGTTCTTTTATTTCGAATCCGAGACCGTGGACGGTTCAAAGGTGACCAACTGAGCTTTATTAGGAGTGACATAATGAAAGTAATGGAAGTCTTGAGTGCTGTGATAGAAGAGAACTGCTTCTCACTGTGCTCTCTGGTGGACACAGGTGAGCAGCTGGAGCCGGTCAGGAGCAGGCACGTGGACTGGATTCTTTCATTAAAACAGTGTATGACTCAGCTCCTGCATACTTTACAAGGTGGGCTCACATTATCCAAACCTGAATGAACCGTTTCTCTCTCCGACACCTCAGGCAGAGAAGATCAGGTCCGCATTATGCCTCGTCCAAAGCTGAGTCCAAACGAATACACTTTTACTTATGTTTGTACAGTGCCTGGCTCAGTTATACCCCACATCATATCCTAAATCCAACTGAGCAAAAATCATGGAATTTTGACAAAAAACTCAACTTACATCTGGGTCAGGTGAAGAAGGTTGTGAAACTATACACATAAATCACTCGAGGGACATAACAGCATAAGATGTTTTTGGTTGAGTTGAAGCTCTGGGAAACATCTTGTAATTTTTAAAAACAAGATAATTTTGCTTGTCTCACTTTTTGCATTGTACCGTCAGAGTTCGGGCTTTAACATGTGCTGCTCTTTTGCGTATAACGTTTTCCTGATTCATTGAGGTTTGTTTCTATTGTTTGTACCAATTTCATAGATATTTTGTTTTTCAGTCTTTTAAAATTATTTGAATATGTTTATATCTCCATGTGGAAAATAAACTTGTCAAGTCTATTGACTACACTGTGACTTAGAAAACATATTTTGAAACTGACGTTTGTTTTGGTCTTTTTATATGCCAACCCTTACCACTGTTGTCCTGGGTCGACGTGCCATTTTGAGGAGTGGCCTACTAACCCAAACACGTCCATGTAGCAATGAAGTGTGTGAACGTCATCCCTTTTTAAACTTCTTACATGCATCGATTGAAAGGTGCGTTTTAGGAGGCACCGCGGCTTAAATATCTGAAACCTGAAAAAACTTTGAATCAGGCCATAGCTGACTCTAACCCTGCTTACACAACATTTAAACCTAAAACATGCTGTAATTGTGCGTTAAATGTGACACATTTGGGAAATCTAGCCTTATCGTTGTATTCTTGAGTTTCATAAGAGGCATTAGCATTTCAACCTGGAGAGACTTTGAGGAGACAAAATGCGTTTGAAGTTTTTTATTGAAAGGTAGTTTGGCGCCCTAGGCCCCAGTGCGGCGTTCAGTCAGCGAGGCTCCTGTGAGTGCGCGCACAATCCCCAAAAGGCTGTGCGTTTGATGGGGTTTTAGGCAGGCCTGGTTAGCAAGGGATGTTGTACGTGCACCGCTATATATAAAAGGCACCGCTATGTATAAAGGCACCGCTATGTATAAAGGCAACACTATTTATAAAAGGTAACACTATTTATAAATGCTTAGCTGCTGCCGCCACCAGGGAGTTTTGCAAGTGCTTACGGGGATGCCAATAGACGCTGGGCTGCCAGAATGGTCGAAGTGTCCGGCCTGATGTATGAGGAGAGGGCAGATGATGACCAGAGACCTAACTGCTGAAGGGCAGAATGGGGGAGTCCCAGGGAAGCAGCGCAAGAGGCAGCGCCTATCCGGCTGTGTAGAGATGAGGAGACAAGTTACAAGTAGCAGTACGGACTTGAGTTGGGCTCTGAACCAGTTAGATGTCATGGGGAGGTTGTCAGGAGTGAGGAATAACGGTCCGTTGAGATCTCCTTTCCGAGAGCAGAGACGAGTGTATGCATCATGGATCTTGAAAGTGTGCTGGAGCGAAGTGCGGCGCAGAGCTGGTGGAGGATGGACAGTGTGATGGGGCGCCTGTGGTCCGAGGAATGAGGGGTGCAGTTGTGAATGCCTTTATTCGATCAAACTCGTCATCAGAGAGGAGAAAGCGGGGTTGTGACAGCGGGCCTGGAATTGGATCCCGGCGAGAAGAGAGCGAATGTAAGATCTTGTAGAGGAGATTGTCCGCACAGTGAACTATGAAGGCACAGATGGTACATACAGAGGGCGGAATTAGGGGAATGCTGTGAGCGTAGCAAAAGCAGGAGTAGACTTTTCAAGCAAAGCAGTAAGATTTCAGCTTGGAAAGTGAGAGGCCCATTTTCATGTAGGATGACGCGGAGGAGAGAAGGTGAAGAGACGGTGGGACTAGTCCAGGGCGAGGGATTCCATGGCGTTGAATTGGCAGAGTGGCAGAGGCGTCGGAACTCCTGGAATTTAAACGAAAGACAATCAGCAATACAGAAAAGGTGACCAGGGACGTGACGAGCAGTGATGATAAATTATTTAGGACTGAGAGCCATGTGATGCGTCTGAGAAAAGGCATGACTTGGGGAGAGGACGAACGACCTCTGCTAATTATTTCTACCACGTTGAGATTATCACACATCACAGAAATCCTTTTCTGTGCCACGTGTGGCTCCACGGCGCGCAGGCCACGGCTACGGGATGTATTTCATGGAGGGCGGAGGAGATGCTTCGAGGGAAGGAGTCGGACCGGGGCCCGGCGAACCACTGGTCCTGGAAGAACCCCCCAAAACCCACGGACGGGGCTGCGTCCGTAAAGAAACGCAGGGCATCGGGGGACGGGACGACGTCGCTGTAGAAAAGATAAGTCGTTCCAGCGGCTCAGCAGACGGGACCAGAACGCGAGGTCGGAGCGGCACCCGGCGTCCAGGGAAACAGCATCATGGAGGGAGGGGACGGGGCCAGCGAGGGAGAGGAGTCTGGAAATAAAGGAACAACCCTGAGGGATGATGCGGATGGCATAATTTAGGTGCCCGAGGAGGGAGAGCAGCTGATGCGTTGAAAGTGATGGAGAGGACAAGGCAGACCGGGAGAAAGCGCGGATGCGCCCAAGCTTGTCCAGTGGGAGGGAGGCCTCCACGGCGCGCGTGACGAGGCGGATGCCGAGAAACTCCAAAGCGGTGGCGGGGCCGGTGGTCTTCTCGGAGTGAAGGAATCCGAGGGCAGAGAAGGCGAGCTTGAGGAGAGAGCCCCCGGAGCAGTCTGAGGGTGGGTCGACTACGAGGAAATCATCGGGGAGCTGCAGGACAGAGGGGAGCCGCGCGTAATTAAGCAGAATCCAACACGGCGCCTCCGAGAGATTGTTGAACAGAGAGGGACTACTCCGGCAGCCAAAGGTGAGGCGCACGGCGAAGAAGAACTCTGACGCCACTTGACCCCTGAACAGGCGCCAGTGGTCGGGGTGGATGGGCAGCATCTCGAACGCGTCTGGGATGTCGGCCTTGGAGAGCCAGGAGCCGGGGCCGAAAGTCTTTATCAGCCTGATCGCGTGGTCCACGGTAGCGGACTGCAGGGAGAAGGGCGCTGGAGGGAAGAGGCTGTTGATGCTCGGGGCGGGCCCGGAGCGGGGACAGGAGAGGACAAATATGAGACGCTTCTTCCTGGAGTACTTGCGGGTGGCGATGCCCATCGGGTTAGAGCGAGACGGAGAGAAGGGGCCAATGACGTAGCCCACGGACACCTCCCGCGCCAGAAGCCGCGTGACAACTCGGGGCTCACGGAGAGCCGGGAAGAGGTTGCGGGACACGAGAGACGCCGAGGGACTTAAACAGAGCTTGCAGTCAAAAGAGTGAGGGATTTAAACAGAGCTTGCAGTCAAAACAGTGAGGGATTAAAACTGAGCCCGCAGTCCAAGGTGAGGGATTAATACTGAGAGCTTGCAGTCCAGCGTGAGGGAGTTAACAACTTGAAGTCCAAAGTGAGAGGTTTAGACAGAGCTTGCAGTCCAAAGTGAGGGATTAAAACTGAGCCCGCAGTCCAAGTGAGGGGTTTAAACTGAGAGCCTGCAGTCCAGTGTGAAGGAGTTAAACAACTTGTAGTCCAAGGTGAGGGATTAATACTGAGAGTTTGTAGTCCAAAGAGAGGGATTCAAACTGAGAGCTTGCAGTCCAGTGTGAGGGATTCAAACAGAGCCTGCAGTCCTAAGTGAGGGATTTAAAACAGAGCTTGTAGTCCAAGTGAGGGATTAAAACCGAGAGCTTGCAGTCCAGCGTGAGGGA